ATGACGTAATCTTACAGAACAATGTCATGACGTAATCTTCATGTACAGAACAATGTCATGACGTAATCTTCATGTACAGAACAATGTCATGACATATAATCTTCATGTACAGAACAATGTTATGACATATAATCTTCATGTACAGAACCTGATGACGTGTTATTTTTATATACATAGAAATATCCTGATTTATTGTCTTTACACACAGAGACATTCTATAAACCATCTCGACATACACTGACATGGCGTATATCACTATACACTGAATAACGTCATACCATTCACAAAGATATGAATGTTAAAACATTGACTTTCAATTCATATATTTACATCTACACGTTATTCCTGTTATCCTGGTGATTTTTAGATAACTGTCTCCTTTTAAATAAGAAACCTAACTGACCGACCGCTGTTGCATTGCAAATTAACAGTTTTTCCCGAGAATTCGCGCGAGCTCGCTTGGAATCGCCGAGACACAATAAGACTATACTTTTTAACCGTTCTGTATCATTTATTAAATCAATAATAATATTCCAAGTTGAAACAAAGTTTCCAAAAATGCAGTCGTAGCTTGATGCGCAACACTGACGTCACTGACGTCATCACTATGATCCGGTCAAACATGATCAAAGTGAAAGTAACGCTTGAACTAGATCTTCGTCAACAAACTTATATTTTGTTTAGTTTTGTTTGTTTGGTTTTTCCTAATCGCTTGACGTCACAAACACTCGGGTGATGGTCCCGGCCGATCTTCAACTACCAGCTGATGCTATCGACATCGTGAGCGGTAGGTTTTGATTTCGCTCTGTCGATTTTAGGCATAGAATCTACTTTACACTTCTTATCATGAAATGGTGTTTTCGCTAACGAGTTTTAACCAGTAACGTTTCTGATGTTATTGTGATAGAGCCATGCTGTCTGTTACGTATATTCTCTCACCACTGTCCAGTTGACACATTACTCCAGTAGTCTGTGATTGAATAAGCTGGTACCTTACTGCAAATAGATTATCATTCTAGGTCACATCACAGCTTCTACATGTGAATCATTCTTTTCTTACTTTCTAATTGATAAACGGAGGCAGATAAATTATCATCTCTATAAACAGTACAGGGTTACTGCCAGAAGAGCCAAATGTTCTAGACCTGTTGCAGTGTTGGCGGAGGTTTACCATACGGAATTCCCACTTCTGTTTTTGCGGAAATCTACTCATTGAATATTGTACCAAATGGCACCTGAATTTCTTTGTTTTCATAGCTTTATGGAAGTCTTTTTCTCGTTCATTTTCATATTAGTGAGTGGCAGCGCAATTGTATAGGATATATACAGCCTACCGAACGTCGTCATAATTTGTGATACTCATTTTCGTTTTAAAATGCACGAAGTCAAATAACATTGGATTTCTCGAAATATTCCAGGTAAAACGATATAATTGTGTTTTAATACTAAAACTCCACTACATCAGAAAATATTTTAACGTGGGAACGACATTGGAGAAAGAACATTATCTTCTTACCGGAAAGTATACCATCTCTAGACGTAGTCATAGCAACCGTCTTGACAACCATGACAATGTAATGCAGTTCTATCGACAAACTGTAACCGTGTATTACTTATCCGGAATTGTCAAATATAAGCTTGGGAAGAGAATTCTTATTGCCCATGAAATTAAGGCTCCTTTGTCCAAAATAGCACTCGGTAGCAAAAAAAAAAAAAAAACAAAAAACAAAAACGTTTTGATAACCAAACGGCGGAAGGAAGAAAAAGGTAGAAAAACACAACAATCTAATTGACAATATATTGTTTTAGATTCCGGAAAATTCCGGAAACTTGTAATAGTGTTTAGATATCGCGATATTTTTTTTCTTTCTATTCTTGCCTTTTAAAAACCAGTCTTTTTTTCTTTATCACTAGTCCATGAGGATCAGTAGTGCCAGACGGTGTTTTAAGGTGTATACTACACAGTGATGAGGTCAATGTTTCTATGTATAATTGAATGAGATATTTGTGACGTGTATTATATGAACGTATCCAAATGATTCAGCGACAGAAGAAAACAGATTTTGTGAATGTTTGATCTTCATCATTTTTTTAAATTTGTAATTGAAATGATATATCGTGGATGCAGTATGAAGACATATTGAATGATGTCCATTAATCTTCTTGTGCTTTCTTTATTAGTATCATGGTTCTTTCATTGGGAACGTAGCATGACTTAGGACCTTGATTAACACGCCGTCTTTTATCGACGAATACATTAGAAGATAATATTTTACTATAGGAGCCTCTGTTCTATTGACATTACCATCACAAAGAAATCATTCTAAAATGTCCTCGATGAAATAAAATATTTCAAGAACACTTCTCTGCTTATATTTTTACAACAAAAATTGTTTCAATTTCATATTTTCCGAAACGTTGATAGATTAAGAAATATATCTACATACTTTCTGTTTTTGTGATTCCATAATTTGCCCCCAGATTTCGAAGATTCTTCCAACAGGTTAAAAGCCTGTATGAACGTGTATTATGCTACTTTGCGGAAAAAAAAAAACTTTTTTAATCGTAATAAACAACAACGTAATGATAATCGGTACATTTTGCGTTTCTATTTCAAAGGGGCATAACTCTTGTAGAAAACAGTCACGTACTGGTAAAGCATAGAGACTGGATTCTGTGTAATCAGTCCCAGATAAGATAAAGGAATGTATTTTTATGTATTATACGGAACAATTACAACAATATTTAGAATTCTCTTGTTTTTTTATGTATTATACGGAACAATTACAACAATATTTAAAATTCTCTTGTTTTTTTATGTATTATACGGAACAATTACAACAATATTTACAATTCTCTTGTTTTTTTATGTATTATACGGAACAATTACAACAATATTTAAAATTCTCTTGTTTTTTTATGTATTATACGGAACAATTACAACAATATTTAGAATTCTCTTGTTTTTTTTATGTATTATACGGAACAATTACAACAATATTTAAAATTCTCTTGTTTTTTTTATGTATTATACGGAACAATTACAACAATATTTAAAATTCTCTTGTTTTTTTTTATGTATTATACGGAACAATTACAACAATATTTAAAATTCTCTTGTTTTTTTTATGTATTATACGGAACAATTACAACAATATTTAAAATTCTCTTGTTTTTTTTTTTATGTATTATACGGAACAATTACAACAATATTTAAAATTCTCTTGTTTTTTTTATGTATTATACGGAACAATTACAACAATATTTAAAATTCTCTTGTTTTTTTTATGTATTATACGGAACAATTACAACAATATTTAAAATTCTCTTGTTTTTTTATGTATTATACGGAACAATTACAACAATATTTAAAATTCTCTTGTTTTTTTTTATGTATTATACGGAACAATTACAACAATATTTAAAATTCTCTTGTTTTTTTATGTATTATACGGAACAATTACAGCAATATTTAAAATTCTCTTGTTTTTTTATGTATTATACGGAACAATTACAACAATATTTAAAATTCTCTTGTTTTTTATGTAATTAATTCTATCACCAACTATTTCTGTTTGACTTTTATATATTACGCTATTTTCACAAGCGTTCCTGATCTGATATGAAATGCTATTATTTGAAAAGACAGTATTTTTGATAGAAATTTTTTTGTTCAATAGGGGTTACTAATAAATCGATTGGAATATCAAAATCTTCATCAGTATCGATGACATTCTACATCTTTATATAGAAGTATATATAAGTAATATAGCAGGTGACGGTGACACGTGATTAGATACTATTACTGACACAATAATTACACTGCAGTTTAAAGCTTAAGAACAGGACAAATATCAATCGTTTTGTAAAATGTACAGATAGTGAAAGGTTTATTTTATAAATATATTTATAAAGATTAATTTCAAATACAGAAATATCACCGATATTCTGTATTGAATACCGAACATATTTGAAATAATCAATTTATTTCCGTTGTATCGATAAAATTTCCTTTGACAATGTAACTAGGTGGTGTGCATGGAGATAATGCTGAGAAATAGACTTTATAACATACCGAATTAAATGCCTGATTATGAAGTCTATTTGTATTGTTGACTCTATATAATGATAAATGTTAACACTATATATACTGAAGACCTTCCCGAGAGGAATACCACACAAATGTTAACACTATATATATTGAAGACCTTCCCGAGAGGAATACCACATAAATGTTAACACTATATATATTGAAGGCCTTCCCGAGAGGAATACCACACAAATGTTAACACGATATATATTGAAGACCTTCCCGAGAGGAATACCACATAAATGTTTACACTATATATATTGAAGACCTTCCCGAGAGGAATACCACACAAATGTTAACACGATATATATTGAAGACCTTCCCGAGAGGAATATCACACAAATGTTAACACTATATATATTGAAGACCTTCCCGAGAGGAATACCACACAAATGTTAACACTATATATATTGAAGACCTTCCCGAGAGGAATACCACATAAATGTTTACACTATATATATTGAAGACCTTCCCAAGAGGAATACCACATAAATGTTAACACTATATATATTGAAGACCTTCCCGAGAGGAATACCACACAAATGTTAACACGATATATATTGAAGACCTTCCCGAGAGGAATACCACACAAATGTTAACACGATATATATTGAAGGCCTTCCCGAGAGGAATACCACACAAATGTTAAAACGATATATATTGAAGGCCTTCCCGAGAGGAATACCACATAAATGTTAACACTATATATATTGAAGACCTTCCCGAGAGGAATACCACATAAATGTTAACACTATATATATTGAAGACCTTCCCGAGAGGAATACCGCACAAATACTCCCATGAAACAGCTGATTGATTTGTTGTGTTTGACTTATATCTTTCCAGATAGGGCAAGTTATTATCTCTTAAAGTGACCTAACCATTGCTTATCAGTATAAGACTGTACAACATGACTTGTGGACGGACACTGACGCTCATCCTGCTGGCTGTTTGGACTTCAGAGATATGTCTAGGTAAGCTAGAGTTTTTTTTTTTTTTTAATTTTGGCTCTAGTTTGTTTTGTACTCCGGTCAGATCCCCCTATCACTAGCCCGAGTACACTTTAGCAATATTGTACCAAGTCTCTTTAATATTCCGGAATTACTGTTGTTGATTTTGGATTTTCCAACGTCATAAAACAATTACAGTAAAAGTAGTACAGTAGTATTACAGTACAGTAAAATGAAGAAGTTCAATTCTTTGACCGAAGGGAAATGATTGATTCTAATGCACTTCAGATCTCTGAAAGACCATTGTTGTCGATAAAAGTTAAATAACCCGTCCTTCTTGCGGATGGTTAGATGCCAACGATGCAAAAATGATGAATGATTATTTATCCGTCACATTTTCTGTATTGGCATTGTTTTGCTCTTTGTCCTCGTCAGTGATATGTCCGACGATCTCACCATTAAATCATTAACGTAATATTTGTTCTTCCTAGTTGTGCGTCTGATTTCTGTTCGATCTGGGGTGGTGGACGTTTTCAGTTTCTCTCGTAATAGGTCTTCCGTCGTGAACAAGAAGAAATCATTGATTTACTAACGAGTCAGTTATGCAATTTTTTGTTGCAGGTTTTCTATTCAAAACTCAGGTTTGTTACGAAAATGTGGACTGCTTCTCAAATCACAAACCGTTTGACAACTCATTTGAAGCACTTCCGGAATCTCCTGAGGAAATAGATGTCACTTTCACCCTTTTCACGAGAGATGGACCAGCTAAGGGTGTTAAATTTGACTACAAGGACACCAGTGTGAACATTATACGTGGTGCTGGCTTTGCCGGAAGTAAACCAACCAAGATGATAATTCACGGGTACATGAGCAGTGCGTACGAGGTCTGGGTACATAATATGACCAACGCCTTCTTGTCAAGGGTAATGCATAATCTTACAGTGTTTTACGTACTTTGATTAATATCTCTAAAAAATCACATTTCTACTATTACAAAACTTTGAAAATGCATATTTATCACTATGTCGCCGATGAAGCAAAATACGCTTACTCTGCCGGAACACCTGGTTACTTTCCTTGTTCTTTTTCAGGGGTCTGCGTGCAAATTTTTCCTTGGTTTATAGTTTATGATTATATTGACATGTTGGCATTTTCTTGTTGTGTTTTAACCATGATAAAATAGTTGGTTGGTATTAATGATGTGATGTGAAATATTATTTCATTTGTATCTTTCAGGGTGATTTCAATGTCATAACAGTTGACTGGAAGGTCGGGGCAAGCAAAATGTACCAGCAGTCTGTCTCAAATACAAGATTAGTTGGCGCACTTTGTGCTAAGTTGCTGTCGACATTGAGGGATTCATTTCATGTAGATATGACAAAGACGCACGTGACCGGACATAGCCTTGGCGCACAGACTGCTGGGTATATTGGGAGTAGGGTTCCAGGCATTGGTAGAATAACAGGTATTTTATAGAATACGTCGTTAGAAATGAAAATGGCGCTGTTTTGTCATTCAATCATAAACATTTTATTATTAAGGACATTTTTATTTTATAAAACATGACAAATCCATGTATTTCATTTATTTTTAAAGGTTTGGATCCTGCTGGACCTCTGTTTGAAGACTACCCTCTAGAGGTTCGTCTTGATCCTTCGGACGCTTTATTTGTTGACGTCATTCACACAGACGCTGTACCCATACAGAATGCTGGTAAATCAATACACTTCTTATAAAATGTTTCAAATTGTCGTAGAACGTTAAAATTAAGATCAGGATAGCAAAAGCACAAGTGTAAAATAACAAAAACACAAGAGTCAAATTTTGGTTGTGTTGCTTATTTTTCACGTGTCCATGTTTGCGAGTTATATCTGTTTGTCTCTGTCTGACGTTTCCTCGTAGCACGCATCAGTATTTGTCTAAGGAACAGTAAACACATTATGTAAGTAGGTGTTTGAGGGCCAAGGTTAACATTCATGCTCAACGTAAGCTAAACTTGTGTATGATGTAAAATGAATCCATAGCATGAAAGCAGTTGACATCATTAACAAGACCATTTTCCTGCAAAATACATTTTTAAAGGGATCCGGGGTTCAATCAGCCGTTCGGGTTCAGTAGATCAGCCGTCCGGTTTCAGTAGATCAGCCGTTCGGATTCAGTAGAGCAGCCGTCCGGTTTCAGTAGATCAGCCGTTCGGGTTCAGTTGATCAAAGATCAATGGAAATTCTCTTGTCTATATTTGACTTTTCAATCACCATTATATAGGTCGTTTATTATCATAATATTCACACTTAGTAGAAAGGCAATATTCTGTGGCGTTGTTTAGAACAGGTTTAAACAGGATTATTCTCCGTAACAGATTCGACTGTTATTGTGTTTAATGCCATTTGCAAATGAAGTCTGAAATATCTATATTAAATAGTGCAGGGATAGGTAAGATAACAATTAAATTAAGTGCTTGTTGATTACTGAGAGAAAGGGGGGGGGGGGGAGGGGGGAGGGGAGGGGAGAGAGAGAGAGGGAGAGACAGAGAGACAGAGAGCTGACAGCCCTTCATCAATCCTGATATCTTAACTATGCTGATAATTTAAATGATTATTTTGCATCAGGATTCGGAATGAAGAGACCATGTGGTCACATTGATTTCTATCCTAATGGAATGAACGAGCAACCAGGTTGTCCACCTCCTGTCAGTACGACACTGGAAGACCTAATCTCCATGGCTTTCACAAGTATGTATGATTAGGCAAAGTAGGTGACACAAAGTATGTATGTAAACGCTTTTATTAACTATTATGTAAAACGCCGTGGATATGTCACCATGCCTTTCATAAGTACTTATAATATCCTCTACGGCTAGGGAGATGTGTCATGATAATGTTCACTAAAATGGTAATTGAGCCAAGTTAATCGCATCCATTCCAAATAGGCGCACATAACTGTGACTCTTGTAGATCGTTATATTGTTTCAGAATACGTACGTTCTAGTAGACTCATGATGCAGTCACAAATTTTCTTAGTATGTCAACAGAATTTATGTTTTCAGAATCAGAAGAAAAAAAAATCATAATGTGGTAGGGTTATTAACCTCCCAACACAACTGCACCCTCGAGTAAAATTATACATAGCTTTAGGTAATTATAAATATGTAACAACATGTATATGAACAAGGTGCTCGCGTCTTCCTCTTGTGTCAAATCTCCGTCTGGACGTTCATTAAGTACAACATTATATATCATTATAGATACAGACTTGAGAACATTTTGACCAGACTCCCAATTACAGCTTAGACTTACGGCCATCAATCCTTATCCTAACCCCGTCTTCCTCCTCCCAGTCCCTGTAACTTGGTCGTCCACCTCCAACACAACCACTCCAGTCCATGATGACCTTGACCTATGGCGTGAGGACTCCTGAATTAATGTTTCCTTACAGTACATTTACGGGGGTGGGGAAGCCGGATATAGTCCTTTCTGTAATCGACTTGGACAGACTTGAACTACTTCTGTCCCAACTTTAGATGTCTGATAACAATAACTTTAATATACAGCAATCTTGGGTAAGGTTTGGCTTTAGATAAAATAACTGGAAGTTTTTTTACTGTACTCTTTCATGGCTTACAATCAAACTTTGTCCTCCTATACGGTAGACCGCACGGTGCTGTTTGATGGTAAAAGGTTGTCTTCTCGCTTAATGGTTGTAGGTGAAGGGTTTAGTGATAAGCGTCGTCCTCCTGTTTGGTGGTTCTGAGTACACAGTTTGATAATGAAATGCCTTTGTTGGTTGGACAGCTGAAGAATTATTTATTTCTTTGATGTGAATGGTCTGACAGTAAAGCTTTACGCCAAACCAATTTTGTATCCCTGATGACGGACACGTGTTCACGATTTAAAATCTACATGGTCTCTCGTTTTGAGAGGACGACTGAAAAATGTTTTGATAACTACAGGTGAACGAACAGTTTAATGTCTTAACTATGTCCACTGTTGACGTGACAATTGAAAAACTGACGGTCACTCTGTTCGACGGACCTTCGTGTATAATCTTATTCCAAACTTGGCCGCTGTTGATGACAATTTTACCTTAAACGACTCACGGATTAGGTGCAAAGCATTTTTCATGAGTGATTGAAGGACGAAAGGACAATAGAATGATTCATCTTATACAGTTTAGTGGAATTTGGATATCTTATACTGTTGGCTGGGCAAATGGAGGCAGTACGTTGTTCCAAGATCGTGTTGTTAAACTGCTAACACCTCTCACCTGTGTATCAATTTGTGGTTCCCTCAGTCTTCGGCAACTGATGGCAACTTAGTCATACCTCTGTGCACCAAATGTCAGGTTGTCGATGTTTAAATAGTATATATTCGATCATAAATCTAAAGTCACTTTGTACAAACCTTTTTTTTTTTAATGATTTTTGTAATTCTTACTGTATTCTTTAAAGAACAACACAGGCACTTTAACAATACGATTTTTCACATAGATGTTCCTGCATAGCAGTAATACGAGTCCGTTAGTTAACGTTATACCAGGTCGTTATATAACATTAAGTGGAGATGTGTATTCAACACAAAGGCTTTTCATAATGTGGTGATCTTGGACACAATCCATAAATTTGTTATTAATATTTTTTTTTTTTTTTTAACGAGAAAATATCGTTTAAACATTAGAAAATACTTATCAGGTTTCCTTTTAGGAATCAAAAATACAGATAATTTTCTTTGCGATAATGTATAATCATTTCTCAATTCAGATTGTGATTAAACGTGACCTAAATATATCTGCGCATTGACATAGACAATTATGGAAGAAATTGTTATCGAAATGATGTCATTGAAAAATATCTGGGAACGTAGCCGTTTTCTTGGTCGTTTTTAATGTAATATTGGATTGATTGAACTTACTAGTATTATCCAACTAATTCTCTCTAAATACCAAATATGGAAATACCATTACCTCTCAATAACGAAAATGTATATTATGATTGTAATATCACTGTGTGTATGAATTAACGGCATTTTCTAAAAAATACGATTTCACGCGTTTTTATCCATGCGTGTTAAAACTTATTTCTAAAATTTCGTTTGTGCTTAATCAACAAATACATTGCCGACACGTCAGCAGAATTTTCAACACAAATGTAATAAAATTAGTGCAAAATATGAAACAAAAAGATTTACAAGGAGACCATTGAAAATCAAAAAGGAACATGAACACCATTTCTGTAGTTCTCACGGTTCTAGTACATCCCACTGTTGTACCTGATACGTAACGCCCCACCAGGCACATCCGCGTTTCCGGTTGTAGTGTGGCAACGTCATACAGAGTATTGCATGTATCCGTCAATAATGGCACCCGCCTAGATCAAAGCCTAGGCTGTGCTGTCTGAAACAAATAAGCTATTTATAAGGTATAAAAAAATTACACACGGGATCTTTAGTCATGTCTGAACGTAACCATATCTCTCTTTGATTTTGGCACGTACAAATATCGTCAGAAAGTATAAAGATGTGAAAATATATAAGAGTATAACATCAAATAATGAATACACTTCATCATACATTTGCTTCGTCCTTCTAGAGCTTTTCAGTGATAATAAGCACGGATAAGATTCTTGCACAGCTTTAAATCATGTTGAAAATTTACAATATGGGTCATGTCTTCATTGATAGTGCTACGTGTCAAGCTGCATCATTTTCCCGCGGAAATAGCACAAGGACATTCTGAAAGATATACTCCTGTGCGTCACTTAGTTTCCACCTGAGCCAAAGCTAAAATAGTTTGCTGGATAAACAATTAGATAAATAATGTACTTAGGTTTCTTCTGTTTGTTGTCTGTTCTTTACCAAATATGATTTTGTATTTCAGTAACATTAAAGTAATAATACTCACGCATACAAATTTAAACTGGTGTTTCAGCTGGTTAAAAGGTTAGCATACATTCTAAAACATTCTGGAGCGTTACAGAAAATTGTCTGTGAATGTAGAATAACGTTACCATACATTCTAAAATACTCTGGAGCGTTACAGAAAATTTTATGTGAATGTGGAAAAAGGTTAGCATACATTCTAAAACATTTGGGAACGTTAAAGAAAAATTGTTTGTAGGTTAAAATAAATGGCTAGCATACATTCTAAAACATTCTGGAGCGTTACAGAAAATTGTGTGTGAATGTTGAATAACGTTAGCATACATTCTAAAATACTATGCAGTGTTACAGGTAATTGTGTGTGAATAAACTATAACCAATTCATTATCAAAGTAGCTTTGAATGACATATGAGCTTTATGAACTTTCTGTATTAATGTATAAACAAATTTTAAATCCAACTGCTGTTACCATTCCTATCAATTCATATATCACCAAAACATACAGATATACCACCATGTTGTATCTTGTCAGTGTAGTAAATACTGTCTACTTCCATCATTTGTAGATGCGTTTGAGTCGGTAGCATGCAGTCACGAAAGGTCCGAGGGTTTGTTTACCGAGTCTCTACTACAAGGCCCCTGTAAGTTCACCGCCCATCCATGCTCCTCCTACGACGACTATGTAGCCGGCAGATGTCCGGGGTGCGGCGACGGACCATGTCCGGTTATGGGATATGACTCCATTCTTGCCAATCGGACAGGAACATTCTTCTTGACTACTTCCGGTCATTCACCGTACTGTCGTGAGTACTGTTTGAATGGTTTGTTCAGCTAAGTAATCTATATTATTCTCTCCTGTGTTTTCTGCTTCCAGCTTTTGTAATTGAGTAATCTACAAACTGTTTGTAATCATCTTCAAAGTGAGATATCAAACGGAACATGTGCACATATAAACAGTGTAAACTACTCGCATAGTACAATAACATGTTCTTAATTAGAAAATGAAAAGTTATACTACTGCCTTGTTGTCTTATAAAACACCGTAAACAATTTCTTTCAATTTCAGAGTAGCTATCAGAGATGAAGTTTCGAGAGAGAACATGGAGTATTCAGTATGTAAAGATGTTTTTAATGTAAATAAACTCGGTGATACTGACATCTAGTCAACAATATCAACTTATTTGTAGTCGTTAACGATACATTGTTTCGTCCAGGTGAAAAGATATCATGTCATTAATTACCATCAAAAACGTTAGTAAGTATTAAGTACACTGAACAATTTAAAACGAAACTAGAATTTTTTTATCATCACTACAATTAAAAGTAATGAAATCAAGAGGATATGATTAAAAACGAACACTTCAGCGAATATTAAAAGAACGTAAGATAAAAATAGATTTAGAAACTTTTCATTTGCTCAGAAAAAAATATCAGAAGACCCATTCACTGATTAATTCAGGTAATCTATATTATATTCAGAAGTTGTCACTCAGTCGATATATTTGAAAATGGATTTCCTTCATATAGCAGGAAAGCATACATCCGGTGCACAATGGTTCCTTGATTTCCATCAAACTTTGGTTGTCCATATGAAATATCGCAGGACTTAAAACGTTTTCGGACTTTTATCAACACACTTTATATCGGTGAACACTATACTTTGAAATACATGTGAAATGTTCATTAAATCATTGAATATCGACACGAAATCTGGTTTGTAGTTCAGTTTGTATACAATCACAATGAACATTTGTGTGCTTGTGAAACATGCAATTAGAAGTCTGACATCCTTTCTTGTTGTTATTTCTTCTACCCGGTAGACCTTTTCACGATTTGTTTTGTTTTTTGTGCAACAACTCTTTTGATGTAGGGAATTCTATTGTTTTGAGACCGATTTTTTGAGTGGAAACCATGCACATCACCATTGAACATCATCTCTAACTGGCAATACATCATACTCCCAAAGATGTGTTTTCAATATAATTAGTTTTTCTTAACAAGAAGTGATTGAAAAATGACAAATATACACTAATCAATTCAAATAAATGCTTTACCAGATTTAACATTGTTCAAAAGACACTTAAGTAAATAGCACATTTCAAAACTAGATATAATACACCTTAACAATGAATGCCATATAGCAGATCGAAAGGAACATCAGAATCAAGATATGGGTATGTATTAACCCATAATAAATACAGTTCGACATTTCATATATATAGTTTCAAAAGACAGTAAAGTATATGTGAACATTCTGAACCATGCTACGAATTAAAACGCGACATGTGGGTTACGGCAAACCTCAAGGACTAGAAATTCACCAGAAGTTTTGTACCACCTGCTATCTCGAAGATTGTACAAAAGACACATACATCAATAACGCGAATTAGGTACAGTAGAGCAAAAGGATAAATTAAACTACACCATATAACCGCGTTTCGTCCTGTTATGACTTTTCAATGATTCTTAAATTTTGATACCTAGGAATCCTTTAGATGTCAATATTTAATATTTTCCGGTACAAGTAGACAATACAAATATCGAAATTGATATTTATTGTTACACGCGTACTTGACTTGTCTCATATTGTCTAATGGTATTTAATCCGGTGATTTTACTGGTGTTTATGCAAGCAGCTTCCTTGTTGAAATAATTTTTCATTTGTCGAGCAAATTGTAACTTGAAGACCACGGACACTTATAGGGTGAATCTTTCCTGGAAACTTCATTGTTTTAATTGCAGTCTCTGTCTTGATCACATGACCAATGAGTACTCTTCTCTATTTACCTACTTTTTCTGTTCATTAGCAGCCAATCAAAAGGGTTTGATTATCGGTTCTGGTTTAGATTTTTTTCAGTTTAAATAAGGTTTTCATTGATTTCGGATTTTCTACATTCGTTGAATAAATGTTTAAATACATGTATACTGGAAAATCATCCAACAAGGCGTGTTTTTTAAGATAATGTTAACACAGGACAAATTTACGCAGGATAGGTTATTTTATGCTTTGCTTCAACAAGTCATTGTTAATGGCACTCGTTTATGTCAGATATCAAGCCTTAATACTTGAAGTGTTCACTTGTAACTATATTTTCTACATGATAATCTACAGAAACGATCTTTACCATTGATAATTATTCTACTTAAAAAGTGAATACGCGACATTAACATAGACAGATAGACAAGACGAGTATCCTAAAGCTTGGTTATCAAGTGTGCAAACGTAGCAAAACCATGCTGTACATGTCTGCACACAGGGAACGGTTAATTGGCCACCTTTATAGTCTATGTGATTGGGTCACAGGAAGGAAGTCCTCGTGTTTAGGTTACGTCGGCCGTCTCCTGCAGTAAGACTAGTGGTCGTGGCTCCGAGACACAATACAAACGTCCGTAATGGCGACAACACATGTCTATACCATCTCCAGGAAAAGTATAACAGGAATCATATTTATGTTGTGTCTTTTATTAGGATTATTGTCGACTGTACAGGCCAATACTCAAGGTAAGCAAGGAGTTACTTACTTATCCAAACTTAATGTTTTCTTTTCATTTTCAACACGTATATATTTATGTTCTAGAGTTTTCTCTGTAAGTTACCATGACACAAAATTTTAAAAAAGTAGTATTTGTACTCAGTACTTTGAACTTCCATATCGAGTCTTCTTTTGAAGGTTTGCATTAAAGTATTTTCCCAAAGGTTTTAAATACCATTGTTCACGTTCATCACAATCAACCGTCAAACTGACACGATAAGCTATTGAGTATAGAGAACATAAACACCGTTAGTTTTCATTTCTATATAATCAATCATACACTTTCTTAATTATAGTCTGTTTGTAGTGTTTCTAGATATTTTTAAAATTTATTTTTAATATCAATATAATAGGACGATTTAATATTTTTAAGCATCATGTCAGACAAAGTGATTATAATACTTTTGCTGCTTAAAGTTATATAATGTTTACTATCGTCTTTTTCATATTGACAAAGTGATTATAATACTTTTACTGCTTAAAGTTATATAATGTTTACTATCGTCTTTTTCATATTGTCAAACTTTATGAAGCATGTCCTAAGTCTGAACAGTATTGGGTATGTCTATGTCATATAAAAACTTCAACGGTTTTTAGGCAAGATGTTTTACTTTCAAAACTTACGGTATTGAGAATGTACAAAAGACACTAAAGTGAATAGCATATTTCAAAATGAATTTAGAATTAAATACAGTAGAACCAAAGAATGAATACAGAAATCGACCAGCACAGTGTACCTAACAGTAAAAGTGTTTGTCGTCAGTACACTAATAATCAATGCTGTAACACCATTTATCTGACCTCTCGAGCAAAATTCGTGCTATTTTAATGATATAATCTTTGTAAATCACGACTTGATTTCGAGATAATCGAGATATGATTTGGCATTATGAGTCATAAACTGGAACATGTTTTTTTCATAATGAAATATACAACACGTTTAACAAATGTCACATGCAGACTAATTGAGTCCGGAAACGCGTAGGGTACGCATGTATACTGAAACGCACTCGTGAGGTTAATTTCAAATGTAACATATATAGGGTCAATAGGTTCAGCAAAGTAATAGGAGAAAAGTATGTCATAGAAACTAGTTTGTTTCATTACAAAACTACAATTAATATCTTATCATCATGTTTATCTTAGGGAGAATCATTTAGTATCGAGAGAGATAGGTGCAATACTTTCTGCATACAAATATACTTAAGCAATACCTAAATAAAACTCATTACGTATTGCAATGGCTTAGCTGAATAATTTATGTCCTTTTGACACATTTTCGTTACATATCAATATATTTGATTATTATTTTACTTATTTTTACATTTTTAATCTTGAATTTTCATTCGCCAGTTCACTTGTAAATATGATTGAAGTTTATAATTTAGGATTGGGTGTCACTGCAGTCATGATACGGTTTAGAGTACTATTCTTTTATAACTTTTGACGACCAATGCTTTCTGCTTGCTGCAATATAATTAGATGTTTGTCCGCAACATGTAGCAAGAATCTAATAAGTAGATTTTCACCAAATCGTTGATATGTCTACCAAGTGCTTTTTTTATAATCAACAACGGTTTCGTCAAAAATCCTTTTACAGATAAAAGCATAAAAGACATAAAATACGGCATATAATATTCAATTCGAAAAAAGCGCAATCAAGCTGTCAACTGTAACTTCTTTACTGTCCGAGGACAAAGTACAAGCTAATATTCGTTGAAAGCATCGATATTACATATACTCGTGAAACATATATACTATTCAACGGTAATACCATCAAACTCTCTATTTGCAAAATGTTTTCAAATAGAAGAATATCAGAGTAATTATAGGAAGTATACCCTATCTTAACCAAAGCAGCATCATTGTATATATATATATGTAGTTATATTAATTTACATTTTACACAGTGTAATTCATACATAATATGTAAGATGAGAATGATCATTTACTTCTCCTTTCGGTAAAAACAAATCAACCCAAAATCCATGTTTTCATTCAAGCTAATGATGCTTACAATAATGATAGCTCAGAAGATGCTATCATTTAAACTCGTTATGTGAAGAGGTCGTTTTCTGTACAGTTTCAAAGTCGGCAGATTACACATAAACACATTTGGAACAGTACTATTTTCATATTTTTTCAACGTTTGCCTTATTGAATTCTTTTTCTTAGGAACAGCTGTGCATTGTTGTATTCTTGACTCCTTCAACAAAGTCACTCTGACAAAGCCGGATTTCAAGCATATTGTCGATGATATTGCTAATTCGGCGCTGATAAACTTAAGTTTTTATCAAAACAATATTAGACGAAAGAGTTTGGAAAGTGCGATAGTAGAGCCCAATACATGTATAAATATATTAAATTAGATTATCTAAAAAGAACAAGTAAACATGTTTATTCTTAACCATGACACTGTTTACATTCATTTAAAACTATCATGCAGATTACAAACGAAAAAATATCTCGAGGAATAAATCAAATTGAAGTCTACCAGCTGCCATTTTACAGGGTTGTACAAAATAAATATAAGCGAATACAAACGTATCAGTGTTTCTCTTCAGCCTTATTTCTTATCAGGAAAATAGTATATAATTTATTTTCATTTCCGCATTGTGAACGTTCCAACCTCCCCGCGTTAAACATTTGCTTTTTTTCTGATGCAAGAAAAAATTGTTTTAAATACTTATGAAATAAATTTGTTGGTTTGAAATCACCAAATGAAAGTACGTTTGTGAAAAATTTACATAAATGAATAAAAGAAATAGATGAAGAGAGGTAATATTTACTATATCTACTTCAATCGGATGGAACTAATGTCGTCCGTTTCTTAACAATATCTGCCAATTGTAATAAAGCTTAAATTCTTTTTATCCACTTTTGATAAAAACAATTCTTTCAAACAGCTTTAAACATGATTATGGATGAAATATACGTTGTCTTTGTGTCAGGTGTTATATTGTCCAAATATTAGCGATCTAGAATTTTCACATCAGCCGCTTACCTCGACTTTTACAACGAACCAACAGGGGCAGCTGTTCTCCAAGGGGTGTAATAAATTTAATTTTTCCATTTCTATATAACAACATTCCTTCATCCCCAGCATATGGTGTTTAGCTGTGGTTTCGTTAGTCAGTTGGGTCGTTCTTAATATCACGATTTTCGTGCAATATTTCGGCAACTGACAAGCAAACAAACAAAACAAGAGGCCCGAGGGGCATGTATCGATCACCTGGCTAGTTTAGCTATTCAGCCTTTTCATAAAGAATTTCAAATATCATAAATAATTTCTGATATATAAATAAAGAATTTCAAATATGATCAATGCTTCCTGATATAATCATACTATTGGGTCCCAGCCTTGTGATCAAACAGAAGTCAGAATTACTATTAATAAAAGCTTCAGACCAAACCCTGGACAATATCTTTGTACGGAAGAAGGAATTTTAGGAACTTATATATCCCCAATTGGGCCCCACCCCTCCCGTTTTAGGAGTCTTGATAAATCGTTTATAGAGAAATGATTCCCCTTCACACAACAATGCTTCTGACCGAATTTGGATGATATCCATTCATTTTGTTTGGCAATGCATCTTCGGGCCAGGTGAGCTAAAACCAGGGTTATGAGACATGTAGATTGATGAAGATTTTTACGGTCGACATATATATAATATATATATATATATATATATATATATATATCATTTGTCTGGTGGTTCCGTTTTGTTTACCTTGTGCTCTTGTTGGAACGTGAAATTACTTACTTGACCAAGATCTACCGAGACATCTGCTCTTATTTTCCTTGCACTGTTTTCACGAGACTCCGCGCAAGTCTTTCTTAAGTTCTTATTTTGCGCTAGTTTCATCCAATTTGAATTAAGTTTCTGTTAACATCTCGACATTTTCTTTGCTTTGTGTTTATGTTTACTGCCTCGATTTTTTAGTTTGATATCTGAACGTTCAAAAGATGAATTTTTAAAAACTTCTTTCTCTTGAATACCGGAATATGAGATAAAAGGAACGAAAACATTATTAATTATTAGAGACTGAATTTGACCAAAGTCTATAAGACATACGAATAAAAGATAAGAGAGTACTATTCATTCCAGAGTTCAACACATGTCACGTGCTTATCACGTGAACTACTTAGATATTGCTTTATATTCACTAAGTGCAATCTGATAAGTAATGGTAAACACTTACTATTGAAATAATGACAGCAAACAAACAATTAGATTTGTATTTCGGTTTGTTTTAATTTACACGAAATATCCTGTTTTGACACAATAGACGCTGGCCAAACACCTCTATTTGCGAATGTCACTACCCACAGCCCCTTGGTTAATAAGCGGATGACGTGCTACATTTCACACCGTGGTTCTCTCTGGTGGCTAAACGCAACACTCTGAGACAATAGCGGCCAACTCTGACAATTCGTTTGATACGTAAAAATATGTTTGAAGCAGAGGAAGTGTGTTCTCACGCAGTGCATGCCCTCACTAGTTAATTACTTCACTCTACCGCTCAGCACAAAAACACCACGAATTCGTGACATGACGAAAGGCGAACCTACCACAGAGAAAGAGAGAGAGAGTCATAATTTGAAATAAGAATAGGAAGTCTCCGCTCGGTCTCAAGATCTCATAAGTTGAAGTACTATATAAATGTATTCGCTAGTTCCTTTCCCATAAAGTACATTAGCACTTCGGCACTCGTGTAGATGTAATATATGTGAAGGTTATATGCATGGCTTTACTAGAGCAAGGTGTCAAACTAAATAAAAGATGTGTGGAGACTTTGAACAGTGTGAAGTGGCTTATCTATATATGTATACAGCTGACATCTCTCGATAAGGCACCGGGTTTATTCCAACTGTGCCATGAAATTTGAACTTTATGAAGCGGTTCATTCGCAATAAAGTACGAAGATCAGTTATTTGCTAGTTTTTCATTGAGTGGGGGAACATAATATTGGAAGAAATGAATTATCAAATGATTCTCATCCTTTATGTACTTTATTATCGAGGTCAGATAATTTATTGTTTAATGAGGAACAAAAGAGAATAGCTATGGCGAGAACGACAGAAACAAATATCAAATAAAGAGATGTCATTTAAAAGAATGTAACAACAAACTGAAGTGTAATACATAAAAAAACACTGGTTATTTTACTTTTAGGTTGTAAAAATCACTGTGTACACGGCTGCGACAAGCCATGCCTAGGGAGATGTGCGGCTGGATGGAAAGGAGTTGAATGCGATAAACGTAAGCTAGTTTGCAAATCACAACATGTAGATCTTTATTCCTTGTGGTTACATTAATCATTGTGGTGGAACAAGTATAGTTTTCACTCACTGAAGCTTTGAATAAAATATGTCACTTTAATATAATTAATTGTTGATTTCATATCTGCAATAAGAATTCATTGTAAATTCAATTAATTACGTTTTCTAATTTAGCAATTTATGACCTTTGCAACGTTGTTAATCTACAAATAATCTTTTCCGTGACAGAATGTGAGAGATTTTACTATGGTATCAACTGCGTTCATTCGTGTGGGCACTGTCGAAACGACGCTACCTGTGACCCAGTGAGTGGGGAGTGTATGGACGGGTGTGTACCGGGCTGGACGGGGCAGTTCTGTAACAGATGTAAGTATATTATAGCATTATCAACCGAAATGTAAAAACTGAAATGTACACAAAAAGATATCCGTCTCCAATCGTGATATGACATGATGCAAAATACCAGAAATAATTTTGGATGTTTTTGACAGGAATTTATATGAAAAGAAAGTTACTAAGTCTGTCCGAATTCATTATTGATGACATAATGGGTCGCTTAAAATTTAACTTTAATACTTATCTATTTATTTTATTTCTATCTTTATCTTTTTGTTCACTTTACGAAGAAAAGTGAAACGTATCACTACCAAATTCTTGTGTTGCATCAATAAAGGTCTAAGATATTGGTAGGCATTACAACGTGTATAGAAACACTTATTTCCACACACTAATATCTTGGATGATATTCCCCAGTAAGAAAAGGTCCAAGTCGTTATCTCATGTTGGCCGTCTTTCCATCAACTGTTGTGTTGCAAAATCTGCTGTATGAAATGAGAATAATATGAATTTTATTTCAAGATAGGTGTACAGTTTCCTTCCCATGAGATGTGAAAAGAAACCATTTGATAAAAATCTAGACAAGATACATTAAAGTCAAACAATGAATATGACTGCATCAAACAGTCCTTCTAGGACTCATCAGTGATGTAAAGAGTCTAAATGTTAAACTTAGGAGTCGACTGAGGAAATTCCAAAATGATCGAAAGAAAGGTCACTAAAGTGCACTTACCCATACTTTAGTAAATTTTGTAATTTTCATATACCGGATATTGTTGAAAGAACGTAAAGCACGTGTATACATTCTGCACAGTGTCACTATTCGAATGAACGTTGTAGGCTTGTGACGGCAAACATCGGGTACTAACAGCACATCAGCAGTATCTACCGCTTTTAATCTCGAAGATCAAATGGATAGCACCATTTAATAATCTAACTGGTATCACATGATGATTGTAGCACATATGATATTTGATTTTTTTTTTTTTTAAATTACATTTACATCAAACAATCATTTTTCGTTCCCCATTCCCCACACCCATTACTTATAATGATATTTTGGCGTCATTTCCTACTCTTTCCTAGTACTTGCCCTGTGCTGACTATATTAGCACTAGCCTGTACTGGTAAAGGATGGGTTTAAGCTTCTATGATTAGTTCAGTTATCTCCCCTGATATACCAACACTCTAACCTGTAGTTTCACACTTCAGCTTGTGTCTATTAAGGTTTCCGGTTTTGGTCACCTATATCTCAACGTCCAAAACCTGTTTCAAATCTCTAAGAATTAAAATCTTCAAATAAACGAAGACAAATGCCAGTTAATTTGTAAGAGAAAAAAGTTTTTCTGAACATTTCTGTACTTAGACTAGGCCGAATGCAATTAAGTTTACTAGGATTCTTTTTTGTTTTTCTAATGATCTGATACATACCACATTACTCTACAGCATGCGAGCCGTTTAGGTACGGTCTGGACTGTTCCGCGGCATGTGGTCACTGCCGCCTCGACAAGGCCTGTAACACTGTGTCTGGGAAGTGTAGCGCTGGATGTACGCAAGGTTGGACTGGGGAAAGGTGCGATTCGGGTACGTATATGACAGTCTGCTTTCAATGGTATCTGTTATGTATGTATGTATTTTTCTTTAAAAAGATTGCAAATAAAGCAGAGCAGCTAACTAATCAAATTTGTGTTTGTCAGAATGTCAAAACGGTTGGTATGGACTGGATTGTGCAATTAAATGTGGCCATTGCGCAGACAACATTCCATGTGATCACGTGACCGGCTCGTGCAGGAATGGATGTGCAGCTGGCTGGTCAGGGGAGAATTGCATTCATAGTACGTTTAAATACACAATCTCATTTTTTCATATAGTATTTATAATATTATACACACGGCCTCTCGCCACCGCACTTCATCACAGAAGCTCAGTAAAATTGATAAAGATAACTTCTCTATTAAACTGTAATATGAAGCGTCAAAGATACGGCTAGGTTGATGATGGTTTGTAACTTGGGAACTAAACTATACCCGTATGACCAATTTTGGTTCTCATATATTGTTCCTCATTCCACTGCAGGATGCACACGCGGGTATTTTGGTAAAGGCTGTCTTAGGAAATGTGGTAATTGTAGAAATGGAACATGTGATCACGAGACAGGCAGGTGTCTGTACGGATGTGCTACCGGCTGGCAAGAACCGACATGTCAAGAAAGTATGAGAACTCACTTTAAACGTTTAAACCTGATTACTGAAAAATATCCTTTGATAGAGATTTTTGTGATTTGTCAATTAAGATTATTAAGTACAGAGAATGAAACCATTAACCTTCATCATTTCCCCCACACCACTGAACGTTCTCTGTTGAAACATTATCGTAAAAAGTCATTATGTAATAACGAAAAGTATGGAAAAAACATAAGACTTAGAAAATCGTTATAATTAGTGTTTTTTTTTTTAAAAAAAAACCTATCATAATTCTCTTCTAGAGTGTCGACCGGGAACTTTCGGTGAGAATTGCAGCATGGTGTGTGGTCAGTGTTATAAGAACACGACATGTGACAGCCGAGGAATCTGTACAGAGGGATGCCGACCAGGTTGGAGAGGGCGGAGGTGTGAAGTTAGTACGTATCATTCGAGACGTCGGATATAGGAGTGGATTAGACAAAATGATGCATAGTTGAACAAAATTGCACGAGTCGTTCATGTTAGAATTTTACTGTCTGTCAATAATGCGTTACCATAGTTCATGTCGGAAATCATATCAATTATAAGATAAATTACCTTTACAAACAATGACAAATCCCTCCTAAAACTCAACAATTATATTTAAAGATTAGTAACGATTACGATGCAATATCTTCAATCGAATGTTGATAATGTTCGTAACAAACCACCTTTATTATTAAGTACCATTTCACTGTAGTATTCTTACTTGACCCCATACAGTGAGCGATATCAACCAACAGTGTTGAAAAATGTATTCATACGTTTAAAGGTATGGTGATCAATTTGGAATTAATTTAGCTGAATTTAAATGTACACGAAATGAAGGAATATTTTCTGTGAAACAGGCTGTCAATAGGTCGGTAGATAGACTCCTATTTCAACTCCACCCTATTGTAGCTGACACAAGTTGGAGCTTTCAGTAGACAAAGCGATGTTAAGAAGATAACGTATCTGGCCTATTTATTTTTTATGATGTTCTTATTCTGCTTGCTGATGACAACATAAAGTACGACCGGAAGTTTTCTCGTCCAATTATACCCGGGTGTATACTCGATTGTTCTACTGTTGTAGAAGCTTCAACGTCAGACAATGTCACTTTTGTACAAAAGAGATTATGACCAGAGGGTTGGACAGTTATAATTATGAATAGGTGTGGACCCTGTAGGCATGTTTCGTTCTGATCTAGCATGACGAAACGTGCATCATTAGAATAGATGTATCAGTTCCAGGCTTTGGTATAAAAGACGTATGTCCTTTGTAAACAAGAGATGCCGTGTATAAGGAGAGTTTCTATGCCAAGGCCACATAAGCATTAGTGACGGACTGTATTTCGTTTTAATTGATGAAAACACTTCATCGCCGAGTGGAATCGGAAGTTCATACTAACAGAAGTTCTATACTACTGAACATAAAACCATGGAACATTCTGTTCTTGTGAAATTTGGGGCAAAACAGAACGCTATCGGCGATCAATTTGAAGTTATTTTCAGACCTTATATGCTATATTGAGCTAGTGCTACTAATAATATTATTTATTTGTTTTGTTTTTGTGAACGTAGTCATCATACTCCACCAATTACATGTTTGTTTTTTTACTTAAGCTGGTCTGCAAACTGTAAGATATCGTAGATGTTCTCACCTTCGTTAATATGATTCAAATATTCCCACGCAGCGTCATTCACTGATAGACGTGATTTAATGATTGATTAATTGATATGTATAAAACAGTTAACTATTGAAATCGAAAATTGGTGCTCAACGTAGTTTAGGAGTAGTAAATTAAGGTATGTATACACAAATTAATTAACTTCGTAGGGCTGACTATTTTACATCAATGGAAAAAGTTTTACTCAACCTTCGAACGACATTAATTATTATCATACTCATTTGTGTGTCTTTGTGCAATCTTCAACGTCTCTTGACGAGAGGCCTACAGGAGCAGATAATCCTGACCATTCAGACAACGTCACTCCAAAACCAAACAAAATCATATCATGATTATTACTACACAATGCTGGATTTTTAAGTTTGTTGTAATGTAACGTCTATTTTACAGGTTGTGAAAAAGGTTACTATGGTCATGGGTGTACATACAAGTGTGGAATGTGTGGTGGTGATGCATCTTGTAATCTAACGACGGGTGAATGTCCTAGCGGTTGTGCTGAAGGATACACAGGCCTTCGGTGTCTTGATGGTAAAGTATATGTACTTTGGTGTGAGAAATTATACCTAGCGACAAGTAAATGCGTATAATTCACGGAGATTAAGTGCCTTGTATAGCATTATTTAAGTATTTTAACAAATAAATAAATAAAACCACTTCTTATTATCTTAATTGTTGGAAAGAAAATATACATTTTACACTTCTTCGGTTTTCTTTAAATTACACTGTGGGATATTTTCTGCAGTAACGTACTGTAAATACAATGTTAAGTGTGTTCTTTAACTTCAGTATCTGTGAGAAGCGTGCCGTACGAGATGTCCAGTGCTATAGTACCTGTCCTGGTATCCTGTATTGTGACCTTGACCTTGTTATTTACCGCCACAATGGTATACTTCCTGTTTCTAAGGCCACGCCATGGCAGGTTCCTCAGCCGTTTCTATAGACTTACCACTGTAAGTAACTCAATTTAAATTAGTTAAATGTTTGTGCTAATATCAGACATTATAAATCATATATGAATATGGTGCAGAGTATTGAAATATCAAACCTCTATGTAAAGGAGAAATATATTTTGCTTTTACTCTACATCAAAGAAAGACGATCTATCGAAAACGAAAAAAGAACAATAGATTAATACTTAACTACAATGTTTTAGAATTGGACACGCTAAGCATTCCATACCGCATAACTTGCTGTTTCTCTTCTTCAGAGAAGTTTCCAAGAACCCGAAGCTCATGTTTACGAGCAAGTATTGAATGGGCCATGGGAATTGAATAAATACAACTTGATACTGACAACTGAAAAACTGGGGCATGGTCAGTTTGGCATGGTGAAAAAAGGATATGTGAAGAAGGACAGGGACAATCGGATCAACGTGGCAGTCAAATCTCTTAAATGTAAGTCACTATTTAGTTCCATTGAAATATATAGTAAAATATCTTTGTGGTTTAAAAAGAAAGGTTTTATAACAAAAGTTTGTTAAATACTATAGTGTTGTAGAAATAGTGATATATTACATATATACAAATATTCCTGATAAAGACATTTTCTATTCTACCTTTCATGATAATCCAAGATTGTCTTCGTTTGTAGCAACTGCTTCAGAGAAGGATAAAACCGATTTCATCAATGAACTGAATATATTGAAGAAGGTCGGTCATCATCCAAACGTTGTGTGTTTGGTGGGCGCTTGTCACATTCAAGGTAAGATAATGAGCACTTAATTCGTCTTTCTTAGTCTTACCAATTACCCTGTTTATTTTGCTGCTAAGACCTGTAAGCAATTCTGAAATGAAATATGTTTGTGATATATGAACATATCAATGATCGTCACATCTTACTTCGCCAAACATGGGTTGATCAGTAATCTGTAGTTAATATATCATTCGTAATACAATACATCTAAATTGGTTACCTTTCAGGAACAATGTACGTTGCTATGGAATATGCAAAGAATGGTGATTTAAGGAGTTATCTTAGAAAAATCCGGAAGGGCAAATTTCATATTTACGACAACACAAGGTCTATAACACCGGTACAGAATTCTGTTCTCCTGAAATTTGCATTGGACGTGGCATCAGGTCTCAACCACTTGGTAGAGAAACAGGTAAGTTACAATTATCCAACTTAATAACAATACTTTGATGATATCATGTACAAGGTCGTGTTTTAAGTACATTTGTACTAGTAGAAGTAAAGATCTAAACATGTATCTTTCTATCAAAAATAGTCCGTTTCATTACTAGTTCTTTCAACCGATTAGATCCTCTCAGCGAATCTTAGATATAATAAAAATGTCGAGTAACCGAGTTAATATGTGATCTATCTGATTTTCTAGATCATCCACCGAGATGTAGCTGCTAGGAACGTGCTCCTGGATGACAATCTGATCGCCAAGGTGGCAGACTTTGGTCTGTCCAAACACGACGACACCTACATCAAAACTTCAAATGTATGTAATTGTTCTTGATGTCCAAACTTTATATTAATTTTTCTTAAGAGTATCCTAACTTCCATCATTTTCGCGGATCTTTGTGATATATGTTGCTAACAATTGACTTATTTCCACTGTACAGACAAGAGTTCCAGTACGATGGCTGGCACCGGAATCTCTCTTCAATGCCACATATACCACACAGAGCGACGTGTAAGCTTTATTAATATTCTACTACTGTAATTGGAATCACCTTCTTGTAAACCTCATTTGTAATTGTTCACGCATATATCACAATTGTATACCACTGAAATGTAGTAATGACCTTATATAACTTTTTACGATAGTGTCAAATTCTCGCTATATTCACCATAAAGATTGCACAATCAATATGGAACTGACTAATTTTAATTTAGATAATGTTATATAATATAAATTTAGGAAAAGGCGAAAATATAACATGGCTTGACATGAAATAGCAAAGTCTGTATGTGGCAAAATAAGTCCGTATTATATACTAAGGTAGGAAAACAATTTATGTTTGACGTAGCTTACGCAAAAATGCTCTGCATCCAATGTCTTCACATCGATCATTCACAAAGGATGAAATATCAAGTCTGATTTGCATGCTCTTAACATTTTATCAAATCGATTTGGCTACTAACTATATATTGTTGATATATACTTTCCAGATGGTCGTTTGGGATACTGTTGTGGGAGATCTTTTCTTTGGGCGGTACACCATATCACGGTCTAGAGACACAGCAGATGTGTAACCTCCTAAAACAGGGATTCCGACTTCGGCGACCAAAGAAGTGTGAGCCAGCCATGTGAGTAATCGTTAAGATGAATTTACTATGTATTAAGCGAAATGATAATTATAAGGATTCCATTTTGATTCTAAATGTGTCTTTTGCTATTGACGAAATATTAGTTTTGAATTCGTTACCATGGAAATGAAGTCACAAATACAACATTTACTCTTTACAAGATTTTTTCCCGGCTACTACGATACATTGCAATCAGGTCAGGCTATTGTCCTACATGTAAATGCGTCTTTTGCTATTTACAACATTTCACATTGACATTTTCTGTTGTCGTGAAAATAAAGTCAGAAGGGTAAAAAATATTTTTGCTGGCCTTTTTTCGGGCTAAAAATTGTTCAGCTTATCTCTACATGTAAATAACATTAGCGATGAAAGATAAAGAGATTCAACATCAAAATATTAATTAAATGTAAGGTGTATATATATATAGTTTTGTTTTTGATATTTATACCAACAGTCGAGAACGATGAATACTATCCCAATGTGTGGCTCCTTGTTTCACATCCGAGTCCAGACATAAGTGTTTCTTTATGTTACGCCATGTACAATTTGTAAAGAAATATCGCCTTCAATTTTTTTTATTATCAATGTATGTACTTACAGGTATGCAATGATGCTACAGTGTTGGAATGAAAGGCCTATGAGCAGACCACAATTTTCGGAATTATGTATGAGATTACAACGTATGGTAGAAGACAGCCAGGTTTGTATCATGAATTTATTGTTCATTAACAGATTTTAATGCCACTTCAATACAAAACTACTGGTCGTAATAATAGTAATATTAATATTAAAAAAATATATATAGTGATATTAATATTGTTTTAACCAAACTTCACAAATAGTAAAAAAAGCACGGGAAGCTTCTTTGATCAACATCTTATTGGCGTTTGGTTCGTTAAAATTGTACACTACTTAGAAGTATTGAAATTTATAAAACTCAGCTCTTTATATTTGTCAGAAAATTTCATCATCACAGTGAATTTCAGTGAATTTCACCAAACTGAATTCTCAACACCAAATTTATCTCTGACAGTCATTGATTACACATAAGATTTAGCATATCACTATCACTTGTCGCGTGGACTTACTCAATGAATATTACTTCATTACATTCGCCAATTTGTGAACAGCAAAAGTGAGTGGATTAAACGTTGTTATATCTGGTAACAAATATTGTTTTGACAATATTCATAAAAGAGTTTTAATAAAAAAAAAAACCTCTATAAATCAGTGTAAAAGGACAAACTGCTTTGTATATTAGATATTTTGTAATTATACATCAGATGATGATAATGAACTTCTGTTACAGATCTATATGAACCTGGATGTGAACGAAGGGAATCATTATGCTGAAATCGACAGTGTACGGTAGTGACGGTACATAGTTGTGTACGCTTTGTGATATTTCTGTGCTCCCGGCGATTTCTGTTGTTTCTGTGAAATTCATACATGTTTTCAGTGAAATAATTACAGACATGGAGCGATGCTCTTTGGGCCATGATATACAGGTTACAACTGAAAGTTTATACAACACTTAACTACATGGAGCAGTAAAGCCATAACACCTGAACGCCTGCCACCAATTCCTCTTTGTAGCCATATTTGGCAGTATTCAACATGGTTACACTTGATTAGAATCAGAATTTTTTTTTTTTATATATAGCTGTGTTGTGTCAACTATTTGAACGATTTTCATCACTTTGATATACCATACTGTTTCGGATTCATCGTTAAGCATATTGTTGTTATTCTTTAACTAAGAGCTACTTTGTCCAAGTCCTTTCTGAAACCAATCCTTAAATGACCTCAAAGATTATACACGAGTCTCGATGATGAAGGTCATCGCTGAAATGGTATACCACTGTGAATGTTACGAGTCATGAAGTAAAAGAGGTGCTTCCACACCATTCATAGGCTGACAGAACTTCTTCAGAAAACTTGATACCACTACATCGGTGTCCAGGTACACATCCCTAGTGGTGCATCAGGATGTTACATTCTCTATCTTCCCTGTCAGTAATCTGAATGGTGCCTCAGACTCTGCTAATTTTCGTATTTAATTCAGACACAGAATAATTTCAACAGAGAAATGGTTGTACATAATTATATATTCTTTATTTCATTATAATCCTAATGTAATATTTTGTAAATGATATAAATTTATTTATTTATCTTATGCTGGAATTATACAGAGTAATTTCATTGGTAAAGGATCAAAATACAACATATTTTACCAGATGCTATTTTATTAGCCCAGGGTTCATGTTTCGAAATAAAATTATTTCCTTCTCAAGACATCATTTTGGGTTTTTTTTCAAAACCAATTACATCACAGCTGAACAAGATGCTTTCATTGTTCACATAAAGATATATTCATATATGTTTGAAGTAAAGTTTTTTTAATGTGGATATTTTTATAATAAAAAAAAACAAGACAAAGATACTTAGATAATTAAACAGAGCACGAAGGACGGTAACATTTTTTATCACAGGCAAAGCTCAATAAACACAGCGTAAGTGTTGATAAGTCTGATTAATCTTCTCACAGATAAATTCCATCCTAATTTTGGCCGATTTGTCTTAAAGCTTCTGCATCTTGTTCAGCTTTGACACGCTCCTTAGCTTCATCAATTCTCTTCTTCTCCACGGATGTCTTCAACTGAGAAAGTTTCTCTGCTGCAGGGAAAAACTTGCGGACAAAGAAAATATGGATTTGATGTGTCCAGAAGTTGAATTGTCGAGTAGCCTCGTCAAGCTCTTCTTCATCGTCTTCAGCATCTGTATCAGCCATACCAACTGCAAAGTGAAAACATTTGAGGAATCAAAAATATAAAAAACATTTCATTTTAAACTGAAAAATAGTCAGATACAACTAAAGGTTTAACATAAATCATTTAATTTTCGTCAAAAGAACATTTTGTCTCATTAAATTCTTTTATCTACAGTTCATAGACATGTAGCAGTTTATTTACCATGTTTGTATTCTCCCTCCTCTTCTCCCTCGGTCTGGCCACCCAAGGTGTGACCCCCAATAGAGACTGAGCTCTGCATCAACATATGACCATCAGCATCTGTAGCATTGGTGTGTGTGCTCACAAACGAAGCACTTTTTTGTTGCTCTGCTAGTGGCTGAATATCTGAAAGGAAAATGTTTTTTATGTAAACATATTCTCACAAAGTTAAATTGGTAGATAATTTGATGAAGATGAAGGCTGATATCTTTTCAATAAAGTAAACACAAGTGAATAATTTCACAAATGGTAAAGGACCTTTGACTGGTGAAGAATACAGTAACTGAGAGAGTACCTTTTACAGAGTCGTGACGGCTAACAGCAGTTGGGTGATCATTTTCTGACCCTCCTGTGGCCATGGATCCAGACTGAGAACAGAACAAAACATTAATAAAAATACATTGAACAAAACCGAAGAGTTCAACATATGTAGTCTGATCTGATCACTCAATGTAAATACTATATTCTTTTTATATATTAAACACATTCATAACGTCTACAAAAAAACAAAACACCATTAAAGAAGCTCCATTCCAAAGACTTCAGTGATATGATTTTTTTTAGCAAGTGAATCGAACAAAACATCTACCTCATGTTGTTTGGACGTTATATCTCCAGTCTTGGTGGTTCCCTCGGCTGAAGAAACTGCTCTAACTGGAGAGCTTGTCTCCGGAGAAACAGTTCCCTGACGAGGGGAACCCTGTGCATTGGACTCCACAGCATCCATTCCAACCTGGATATAAAACAAAAAGAAGAATTGACATAACTTCAATTTTCATTACAGATTTTTATAATAATACTATTTGACAATGTTAAGGACTCTTGCGAGTGCCACTTGTAGAAAAAGATTTTTTAAAATATCTCATTCAATGAAAATTTAGAAAGTATGTCACATATAAGTTTTAATTTATAAGTTGGAATTAGAAATGAGAAAACATATTCTCATTTTCAAGTTCATTAGTTTTGAAATTTGCTGATAAATATTTCACACAGATTTTGTTTTTATAAGATCATTACCCAAAAACAACTATGCATGAGGGGGACTGCTCAGTTTTTTCTTCTAAATACAAATCAACACCTTACTGGTTTACAAAAGCTTAAAGTGGGTGTGGTCAACTGTTACCTGACTTGCCATGCGTGATGGAGACACAGGGATGGAGAACATGCTCTGTTCTGGTGTGAGGACAGTACTGGGTCTAGGAGTGGTGGGGTCCTTAACCACTGACTCTGTGACAAACACCTCAGCTGAACCTATCAGTGCCTCGAAAAACTCCAAAAATGTCATCTGTAAAACGAATCACACAGTATATATATATCAATATAACACATGAGTGGTACAACTTCAAAATATACTCTCATGAAATATAGAATATAATATTCAAAAGTATATCATTTTCTTTCTCGTTTTTGAATATAAAGAAAGTGTGAATTCAATAGGCAGTGGAAACATTAAGTTAGCTTTATCATACCGTACATTACTCTTTTCCAACACAGGAAGAAACTTGTTTTGAAATGTTATTAGTTGAAATAGCAGGTTAAACATTGCAAAGTTTACAGAATCATCATAATTATCTCCCTATGAAGAACAGATCCTTCAATGCAACATAACAGTAACATAATATTTGCAGAGAGTACTAAAAGATACCTGATCATAGTTCATCTATAATTTTTTCCAATTAACTCAGTATGTCAGTGTTACTATGGTTACAACCTTCATAAATTATCTTAAAAACTTTACCTCCAACTCCAGGTTACAGCAGCCTTCCCCATCAGCTACCCGAGGATCATCCGAAGAGAGAATGTCCAGTAGAGCTTTAGGGGTCAAGTCATTATTGATCAACTTCAGGTCCTAAATACAAAACATTGAAATGTTTACAAGGAACAGAAAATGTTAGTGTGGAAGCCTACATTTCATATTCAGATTGTGATGAAAAACCAAATCAATGTACTGGGAAATAAAAGATGAGATAATGAGCCAGAAATTGGACTATTTCATAACCTACCAGATGTGTTTTGGGAAAAATGAGCTTTTCTTTATTACAAGCATTTGAGTTTACCAACTTGTTGGAAAGCACCTGGATGCAAAACATGATTTCTCATAGTAACTAAGATATCCTGTTGTGTGATGTTAATTGGTTAAATAAGATTCAAGCTGATTTTTTTTTTTTGTACAAAAATTGAAGAAAAGATACCACTGCTCTGTGATACATTATAGACAAACATTTTACTAACCTTCATCATGTACAGGAACTGTCTCATCTTCATGGAGTTGTCTTTTGGTGCTAACTACAAAGAAGAATGAGACCTAATTAAATGTTTTTGACATAAAGTATTTTTTTGAATTTGTGTACCGACTAATCCTCAACAAGCTTTGATTTATATATATCTGTAATTAGAATGAAATATTTATCATTTAACAATATTGTAAATATGATTCCTATCAGATACATTTTCTCCTATCCATTGTCCCGTACTCCCTTCTCTCTTAGCTCTTCATGGTGACTGTTTACCCTCTCCACCATCTTGTACCAGTTTTTTTTCCTCATCTCGCCTCTTCTCTGTAACTCTACTCCCCTCTCAACTGGTACTTTCCTGTACCCTCTCAACTTTGGTAATTCTATCCCCTCTCTACTCATGAAATATTTTCTCAGGTCAACTCTTTCCTACTTCTGTTTTCTCTCCCACAGTCCCATGCATGTAGTTTAATTAATCACCTGTCTAAAATGTATGTTATTGTCAAATTATATTAAAAGGTGTTATTCACTTGTGTGTTATTTGTACAATCTTTTGAGATTGCAGGTGGTATATTTTGCTGGTGGAACTTTAGTCTCCTGAGTTTTGCCATAACTTGCATGCCTCATTTTAATTCATTTGAATAGTGACATGATTCAGTATATACATATAAACTTTCTTTTGAAATAATTCAATATCAAAAATCATGAACTTGACTGAATTATGGGATTTAACCATTTATTTCCCCAGCTGCCTCCTTGGTTTCAACTATTTAGTAACCCTGATGAATCCTAGATGTATTAAACAGCTGTATATGGCTTTATTGTGTCTACATATAATCATAAATTTGCATTGAAAAGTGATATTTATGAGTTTTGTTAAATAGAGAAGCTTTAAGTCATCATTTTACAATACCTTTAGTATAGGGTTCATAACAGCATGAAAATATAGAGCTGCTAATCAAAATATGACCATTTCCTTTTTCCGTTTGAAATGTTTATAATGTAGAAATATGCAAGAATGGAAAAGTGGCAAAACTTCAAATTCCAAAAAAGAACTAAATTGAAAATCACTGGGTTCTGAATGAAATCCACAGCAAATAAATACAAACAGGTAAATAGAGTTGAGATTTTCTAACACTACTTACCTTCCTAGGGGCACAGACAGCTTGGTACACCTCATAAGACTGGTCAAGGTGGACCAGGGCATTCACTGAACGACGATTCTCGTGATAAAAGTGACCTAAAAGAACATATGATGTTGTCAGAGCTGCATGCCTTTATCATGGATATTGCTAGTTAACTTTAACAAAAGTTTTACAAAATACAATAGCCATCTTGTTTTTAATCATGTATGTTTTGTCAAAACTGAGATTTTCACAGATTTGATTTTTGTGATCACTTTGATGTACCACAAATATCTCATCCCCATGAAAATGACTGCCTAGATGGTACTGTGTCATGTAGTTGATGAAACACAAGTTCCATGATGATCTTGTGAAACAAAAAATATTGTGTTTCATCTTAAAAATCTGACGTAATGTGAACAAGCTTGAGACCCGTTGAATGAAACTTTAACACAGCCTTAAGATTGGAATAATGTAGATTGGTATACCTTTGACATTGCATGCATGCCGAAGAATTTTTTGGTGGATCAGTTTGGACACACAGGAGGCTAGGATAGGCTCATTTCCCCTGCAAAGAAAAATTACATTGTTTTGGCAAAGAAAATCAAAAAAAGAAAGAACAGAAAATGCTTCCATCAGAAAATGGTAGCAATCTCTCTCACACAAAATGTAATCTACTTTTATTTAAGTCATAAATAAATTGTTGTCATCATTATGAGTATCTAATTTTCAGTTTAGTAAAATATATCTATGAAGAAATTTTGAGTTTACTAGAACAAGGTACAAAGACTGAATTGTGACTATTCTTTACTTACTCATGCTCCTCATGGTAGAGATAGTAGGCTAAGATGATGAGGCTGTTAACAAACTGTCGGATTAAGATTCTCTCGTACGGATTGTGGACCTCGTAACTGGCCTTATTGTAGCCTGGGTATTCAAATATATTGAACAAAACACATCAAAACTTGTAGTGACAAATTAAAGATCTGACTATATACAGGCCATGGAACAATTAAAACGTCAGTATTCCCTTAATTAACAGGAACTATTTAGGGTACTGGGAAAAAAAATGATAATTACCAGTACAATCAAAACAGGTACATCAACATCTTGACATTGTGTAAGGGGAGATAACTTTTGTCAATTTGCTGTAATACTTACCAAGCATTCGGTCCATATCCATGAGAGTTAGTGGACCATCATGGAGCTTACAGTCCTTCATAAACCGCCAAAATTGCATCTTGTTCATAACAAAGGTATTGTCTGAACTCTCCTCATAACCAAGACTACTATAGAAGTTATAGATCTTCCTCAGGGTACTGATGTTGCGCATCACCACACACAAGGCCTGTAAATATATCAACATTAGCTCTGCTTTAGCCAAGTTACAAAACCAAAATCAACTCTTAAACGCATGAACAAAGAAGTCAATATCAACAATTTTTCAAAGTGAATATATGGTATAGACCAGAAAAAAAGTATAAAAACAACTAAGAGACATGGTGCCACTTTGTTAAACAGGACTCATTGTAAGATAACTAATTGATACTTAATTATACATTTCATGTACAATGATAACTTTTATATACACAAAAAATGAACAGTATCATATGTGTTCAATACAACTTGTGATACTATAAATAATTATCTGTAAACTTGCCTGCTTAGCCTCTTCCTCTCTGTCGTAATCTGTCAACTCATTCAGGAGATTATCTATATCCAGCTGGAAGCTTGGACTAATGGTGTTCCTACTCTCATTACTGTGGACTGACAGGTTGTCTGTATGACAGGAAAACAAAATGTTTCAAAACTTCGTTTTTGAAATTTTCGGGAATAGGACTGAGATTTTATGTACATATTAGATAAAATGTATTGTGAATCTGATTTATCTAGTTGAATGTTAATCTTTGAGTAAAAAGGAATAAAATCAAACATGCTCTAAATTTTGAATCAAATTTCACATCCAAAAAGTTTTCAAAGATACTTCACAGACAAGCCTATATGGATTTCTTTATCTCTATTACCTGGTAAACAACACCTGAAGGATACCGTACATGGTCTTTGTTTTATATTCCTCCATTTGACAATTTAAAAAATATTTGTTCTAGACTTTTCTACTTACCTCCTGGTAGCGGTGTTCGCGTCCTGATCTGTGTGATGTCAGGTGTAGTGGCTCCGTCCATAGTGAAGTCAGGGTATTCTACAATATGATCCCTCTCAAACATTCCTTCATAGATTCTGCCATTCTTGAAAGTGAACTTACCCTGCAATGGAAGAGCCATGTAAATAAATCATAACAAGTTACCCAAAGATATGCTATGTTTTGTCATACTGTCCATCAATAATCAGCACCACTCTATGTAACATAGCCATTTCTTCCTTAGATGTTGGATATACTCTCTGATCTGTCATACTACACTGATGTTTTAAAATATTATGTAGCTCAGAAAAATCACTTAAAACAATCATGCTCTCTCAAGTTTATTTCTATTTTACTTAATAGAGAGCATGCTATAATCAGATATGTAAAATCAAATAATCAGCTTAATGAATTCCCTTTTTTAAAAAGTAAGAATTGTTTACACAATATCTTGCACTAACCTTTCCATGTTTCATATTGTTTTTCCAGCCACCTTCGTACTTGGCACCATTAGCATACAAGAATGTTCCAAAGCCATGTCTGAGGCCGTTGACAAATTCACCGTCATACATGTTGCGAAGCGGGTACTGTGACCCTGTCTTTCGGCGCAGTAACCAGATATGCTGGCCCATACCATGCTATATAAATACACCAAGCTCACATTATATTCACACCTTAATTATCAAAATTTTTACACAATCATGAAAGAGTGAAAAAATATGTGATTTGCACTTGTTAATTTAGATGTAAACTAGAAGTGTAACTGACTATCACAATATCTTCAATTTTGATGTGTTAAACATTTTTTTAATTAGGATAATTTTCATGATATCATGTAATAGTTTGGTAATACCAGTTAAAAAAAATACAATCACAGATCTTTTAATTCAATTTTACTGCAAACAAGAACATTTTTTCAGTATTTGGAGGAGAAAAGGGCAGCATACCCCGGTACTTTTTTCTGCATGTATCCAGTGATATACTTGTAATTTATAAAACAGACAAAATCCTAATTATAACAAACCTGGATGCCATTTTCCCAGTTGCCTGTGTAGAGCTGGTTTTTGTCATGCCACTTCATGGTTCCTTCACCGTGGCGGACATTGTTGAACCACATCCCCTGATAGATATTGCCTGAGGGATACTGACGGGTACCCCACCCATGCTTGATGTTATTCACCCAGTCTCCATCATAGAAAGACTTTCCTTCACTGTCATATTCCATCTTTCCCTGAAAAAAAAAAAAATCAGTTACATTCAAGTCAAAACTGTCCATATATTATGAGACATTGTATGCTAATGAAGAATTCATTTTATGTTTGAGTTAATAATGAAAAGAAAGAAGTCTTCATCTTACATGATTTGATTTTATAAAACCTACAGGTACAAATTTTATACATATGCAAAATTTTTTATATTTCTTTCTTTCTTTTTGTTTGTTCACTATTTACATGCTTAGAATATAAATGCAAGAAAATGTCACTTGACACGCAATATAGAGGCTGATAATAACCTTTCCATTCCTTTTGCCTGCACACCACTCTCCAGAATAAGACACCTTATTTCCTTTGTAATGAAATGCTCCATCACCATGGCGTTTTCCATTCACTACATCTCCCTCATAGGTGCTATAACATAAAAAAATGAATTTCCAAATTGTTACTGATTTTTTCTTTCTGGTGATAAGACAATTAAAAAATACTAAATTATTAGTTTTGAAAACTTTATCTTTTTCAGAATCTCAGTTTTGTTTTTGTTTTTTTTTTGTTGAAATGTAAATAAACAACACTTTGGAGGACATTAATGTGTCTATTATTTAATACTGATCTGAGTGGAATCCAAAAATGCCTTCATGTAAAATACAAACAAGAATTCTTTCTTGTTGAAATGTAAATAAACAACACTTTGGAGGACATTAATGTGTCTTTTATTTAATACTGATCTGAGTGGAATCCAAAAATGCCTTCATGTAAAATACAAACAAGAATTCTTTAATAAGATACTTTATAGTGTTTTAAATCATATAGTCATATTTTGGAGATGCCTGGAAAAAATTGAAAGGGGCGTTACTGTGGATGGAAACTTAGGGTACATGATGAGTTTACATGTATTTACAGTAGTCTTAATATTAAGTACACCTCTACAAAGAGTAAGTCCTTACCTTCCATCAGGCCATCTGTATGTTCCCTTTCCTGTGACTTTGTTCTGGTAAAACTCACCCTTAAAAGGGACAAGAAAAAATTACATTTTACAATGTGATGATAAAAATCTTCATATTTTGCCTAAATTATTACCCTTGGTAACAAAAGAGTAATCAGTCCTTTTGAAGGATTCTGATAAACTATTAAGTTGTGGCTGTTTTATTCTGAATTTCGTTGGTTGTGAAAAAAAAAAAAAAAAAAAAGAAGAAAAATGGGAGAAATTGATTGAAACATGATGCATTGTTAAAAAAATGTGTGGCAACCCTGCAATGCATCAAAGTATCAATGGTGTTTTATTCTTCATAATTCTTATTGATACAGCAGTTCCTGAACGTTTGACAATATTAGAGAAAAATATTAGTTTACCTCATAGTTCACACCATCAGACCAAGTGTAACTCCCCTTTCCATGCATATGGCCTTCCATAAACATTCCCTGAAATATATCATATTTACTCTACTCAGTTATCAGATAATGCCTTAGTTTTTGTCATTATGGGAATAACACATTGATGAAATTTATAAATAATTAATCAATTTAAGATTTTTTTCCAAATGAAATTATATTTCAATTTTCATATGACAATGAAAAATATAAATGAAGAAATTTGATTGATTTTCCTTCAAATGACATAAGACGACCTCAGAGTAGATCTAATTTTTACTGATACTTTACCTTGTATACATGTCCACCAGTGTAATGAGCTGTACTCTCTCCTTCATACAGTCCACGTATCTTTTCACCCTCATAGCTGTAAACAAAGACAGTGTATAATGTATGTCAGTAACTACAGCAGTAAGATATTTTTGCATTCCCCTACAGTGAAACTGGTGTAAATTTTCAACATAACCATTTTGAATTTGCCTTGTCAATAATATATCTGGTCAAATGAAAACATTACTATAAGTACATAAAATGATGCATTCATACAGTGTAATTGTTTATCTGTTTGCTTGATATATTGTCCCATCACAGCCAGGTTTATTCTGAGGCAGTCACATTGTAGTACAGTGGCCTGTTGCTACCTCATTCAGCAACATATGGAAGGCTCTGTCAGATGCCATCCAAAGGGTAAAGTCTGGTGGCTAATTTGTGCCACTTTGTTGTTTTATCTTTTTGTTGAGAGAAGATGAGAATCAAAACACTAAATTATTGTTCTTTCATCTTTTCATCCTGATATCAGAACAATACAGACACAACAACACAGTAATGCATGGTATGAAAAAATAGAACAATTAATGCTAAATCAACTGATGGTTTTTATCAACCTGACAAGTCTTCAACATTTTATTTGATTTATTCACACATGACTTTTTTTTATAGACACAGCATACTGTACTGTATCTATGCCTAGGTACATCATACTGTATGTTCTCATTGTTTCGGTCTGATTGCCCTGTTTTGGTAATTAGTAACATTACAATGTATGCCTTTTTTAAGCTTTGCCTCTTTCATGTTCCAATGTACCTCAAAAATTAACGTAATAGCAAAAAAGTAGAAACATGTCGAATGTGTTCGTAAATCAGTGGTCTATCTTTGAAAAAGCGTGTCAGATAAAATGACAGATGTAAAGCGTTACAGTATACATGCAGTGAGCAAAGTCATACATATGGATACATGTACATATGTACAATATTGTGTTTAAAGTGTACATGTGTTGTGCACTGACATGTACTTATACTAATTCCTATGCAGTTACCACAAGCTTGAACATTCTTTTCGTCACTGATTGATGCACACGATATTGTCCAATCGCTTTCGAACTAGGCTCTCGTAATATAACAAGAGATTCGTACCTTTCTATGATTAGTTCAGACAAAGTTGGTTCATCATATTCAGGTTCAGGAGTTGGCTCTTTCCGAGGTGACTCCTGGATATTATCTTCCGTTGGAGACGATTCAGTGCCACCGATAATGGATCCGTCTTTCTTTTCATCGTCAATTATCGACTCTTCACTCTTTTTAGCACTTCGTTTCTCCCCGTCTTTCCCTTTTTTACCTTTCGCTTCTTTAGTTGCCATGTTGCGACGGAAGCTCGATGTAAACAAGAACAGCTTCGCAGAAAAGAAACAGATTAAGCATGATTTATTACTTCAATTTTATTTTATAGTATTGTGTCTATTTATTGTACATAATAAATAAGGATAATAAATTGCAGTCTGTTTTAAATTCTAATTTATTAAAGTTTTTGTTTAGATATTATAACTCCGCACTGTACAGTAAAGAACGAAGTGCAAACATGGCGGAAATTTCGTCTGCTGTTGACGCCCTTTGTAATTTCTTAAGTCTTACGTGTGTTGTAACATGCCTTATGTTAAAAGTACCTCAGATGCTGGCAATACTCAAATCAAAAAGCACACAAAGTCTTAGTTTGACGAGCGTGTTAGTGGAAGAATGTGCGTAAGTATCAAGATGCACAAAGAGACCAATATTAGTCACGTGACCATGCATTAACACGTTACTTTCGCTTTAATTGTTTACAGGATGTGTACTAGTAGCCTATATGTTATCTTTGTCGTGATCGGCATATATAGAGGTTAACATTCTACATGTCACTATATATATATTGTTACTTGTAGAAAAAGAGTATTCGACGGAGTACAGTGGGTACATATATCATCTAGACATCCGTTATGTATTTCGGAATCGGCAATTTGTCAAACCGTATCACTCGTACTTGGATAAATTTGGTTACTGTAACATGTTTGGTTTCCAGAAGGAATGAAAATTTGTGATTATAACCATCCACCATAATTTTTTTGAGAATATATTTATTTTTTGGCAAATTTGTGTATTTTTTCTTCATACAAGTTTTTATATGTCAGACATCCTCCAAGATATGATGAAATAGCCAATCAGTTTATCCTCGAATGCCAGTGTTTTGCTGCCTTCTGTTCAGTGATTGAAAATCGATCAGGAATATACGAGGCCATTCTTTGTTGGTTTTTTTAGTTACGCAAGTCTTTACAAGGATGTCTTATAGTGAAAAAAATGGTGATTTAAAATTTTTTAAGACATTACTCATTTCCAATTTGAATAAACATGGGAGTTGTAGAGTGACCAATAAAAATTGACTTCATTTAAATAGTGTGTGTTTTAAAAAAGAAGTTTGCCAAGAAATTATGTGTTATTGGATAAAAAAACAACCAAAAAATAAAAATTTGAATTTAACGTTTTAGGAAAAGATTTTAATCATGTTATCAGAATGTCATTCCTGTTTAAATGATGGTTTTCTGTTATACCTGTGTACTTCTGAGTCACTATAAGCTAACCCAAGTGTCTCTTTGATTTAGTGATGTTATCAGAAGCGCAAGTGCAGTCACATGTCTGATACTCAAAATTGAGGTCGGGTCTGTGGATATTTCTTTAGAAAAATACTGGTGTTTCACTGATCAGTTTTTTTTAATAAATTATATAGTATGAACACATTTGAATTCATTTATGTATTTGTTTGGTGGCAATTCATTGACATAGTGCAGCTAGCAAAAACTGGTTCTTAAGGGGTCCAAAATTATTGTGCCAATGATACCTATGTACAGTGTAATAGGAAGATGTACCTTGGTAATGAAAAATACCCTAACACTGCTGGGGTCAAACTAGGGACTCTTCAGTTTCTTTCCAGACATTCTACCGCCATTCTGATGTCTCAGAGTTACTGCCCTTTGTTTCACTGTCGGATAAATACAGATGGTATAGCGATAAACTTGGCAGCTGATGGACACCCGGAAATATCTTCTGTTTGACTTAAGGAACGTTTCAACTAGTAGATGCTAGTAAGGTGACCTCTCAACTTCTGCATTTTTCGCTCCTTCACAAAGTCTCAGACCCAGAGACAACAATTCAGGTTAATGTTCTAAAGCTCCACAAACATCTCTTTCTCCTATAACTTCTACAAGATGTTCAAAAGTGCATTTCTTATTATGTACATGTATCATAATAGGAAGGAGTAATGAAATTCTCCTCGCACCTGGAAGGGTTTGAAATAGTGACTTTGCAGCCTCTAGCTGTAGTCTCAATGGCTTGACTAAAGGGAAGTTCCCGCTAGCGGATGCTACATGTACATGTAGTACGATGACCTCTCATCTTCTATGTTACTCCCTCCTTCACAAAGTCTCCGACCCAGAAGGCAAATAAAAACAAGGCTCTTTAGCTCTAAGGAAGCATCTCAATCTCCTATATCTTCTATCATTGAATGGCACCAAATTTGCAATATAATGGATTAAAGAAAAAAAACCTGTACCCAGCAAGATTCGAATCAACATCCTTTCGTTCTCTAGGCTGACACTCTACCATATGGCGAAAAGGAAATTCCCAAGCTTTTTTTGATGTATGTCAAAATTACCAATGTCAACCCATGCCTTAGGTACAAAATTAGGTATGAAATTACAGTGACAAGTAGGAAATGAAAACCAAACATTTTTTGTAAGTAGGTACAGATCAACATGTACAAGGTAGAATAAAGTGACCTCCTTTGGTACATGACACACTGCCTCACCTAGTTCAAACCTTGTCCAAAGTATGAAATTCCAGTGACAAGTAGTGTAGAAAATAAAACCAAACCAAACTTGTTTTTGATGTCAAAATGTAGGTCAAAGTGACTTCCATGTGCAGTTCTTGTGATAAGTAGAGCTCAAAGGACAGAAGGGATGAACAATTTACAAAGCTGTAGGCTGCTCAGTTTCAGATAGGGGATTAATAAACTAAGGTTAAAGTTGTATGCAAAAATTTCAAATTTCAACTAACATAAACTTGTTGTTGTCAATGAAATACATTGAGAAAATCTCCAAAAACACCATATACGTAATAGATATTTATAAATGTTGCAGGTACTCTGTGATCCTCTCCTACAACTTTGCAAAAGGCTACCCACTGCCAGCTTATTTTGAATACACCTTCCTGGTATTTCAAGGTATGGCCTACAAGGGGTGGTTACACAATGCAGTTCAGAGTTCAGAATTATATTTGATTTGTACAGATTTAAATTCTTTAATTGTTATAATTGTTATACATTGCATTAAATTTGTTGTATGTATGTTCATGGTCATACAATGGACAGCTTTTCCTTAGTCTGATTCCTGGGGCCTTTCAACACTGTTATGTTATCTTGGAAATTCTTGGTGCAAATCTTAATGCTTGCTGTTGAAGTGAATAATAAGTTTTTGAATTGTCCATGACTGTTCTGCTAAACCAGGTATGAAAATGATTGATACACAAATTCACCCATGCAACAATGTTCAATTACGTTCACAATAAAGCTGATTAACATGTGACAAGTATATGTACTATCTTGTGAACACTTGTTATATAGATGTGTGTAAAATAAAATATACCATGTAACAAAATTTGTAGCAACTAATACCAACCCTATGCATTTAATCATTCCAGATTACATGTTAACATTTACTTCTAATCTGTAAGTTTATACTGTCATATTTTATTTTAACTACACCTTCTGTTTGATATAATGAAATGTAAATAATTATATTTATTTAGATTTGATACTGATCAGTCTGATGCTCCACTACAACCAGATGCTGAGTATCAAGACACTGTTCTACTTCATCATGTATCCTTTTATGACAGTATGTTGTATGTAGTGTGGAAGAAAGCAGAAAGCATCCAATTGGAATTATACATACTTCCTATGTCAGTATCTCGGTCTGTCACAGTACAAATAAAGCAAGGGGAAATTGCCTCTTTTACTGAAAATTTGAAAGCTGTAAAATTAAAGATTTTGGAAATTCTATCTGTAAAGAATTGATCTTAAATACAATTTTAGAAAAGACACAACTTTTACTCTCAAGCCTCGTGAGATAATTTGATTTGCTTTATTTGTTCTTATACATAATGGACAGTTATTTTATCAAATCATTGAAACGTTTTTGTTGACATCTGTTTGCATTGCAATTTATGATGTTATCAAAATAAAAATACTACTCTTTGAACCAGTTTGCCATGTTCATCATGTTTTTCATAGACATTCTACATATAGTAATGAAAGAGCCATAATATATAATAAAACAATGCAAACTTGAAAAGAAAAGGAGAAAGATTGAAGACACTCAAAGAAACAATGAAATAAGAAAACACTTTATTTCTTAATTGGAAAGAAGGTCATTACGTTTTTGGATTAATTTTGATCATTTGGAAAGAAACTAGCATTTCTTGTTAGAAAGCGACCAGTCCTTCTGTCACTGACTTCCTCCTTCAGTCGAGATTCTAACACTCACTAATAACTATCTATAGCATTGTCTGTTAATATTTGCTGCTCCCTTTAATCATCATCACCTTTCTGAGCCCCATCATTAACACCCAAGCTACTTTATCTTGATTTCCATGCATATTCCATGTGCAGTTTGAAATTTGTTTCTGATTAACAACCTTCATAACGAACAGATATTTTATTTTCTATTCTTGCCTCGCCACTGGCGTTTTTCCTGAGCTGGTCCTTAATACAGCAATGGTAAGTTCAGTAATCATCTTCCCTTTTCTATTATCTGAATATGAAAACAAATTATTTAACAAGCTAGCATATAGCAGGTCTTTTTTGTTTTAGTTATTGAATGTAATGAAATATCCTTGTTATCATTTGATAGCCATTAGAGAGTGCAGTAATATTTTTGTTACGTCTACATTTTATAATGCATAGTCATGTAAAGTTCATGTCAAAGTCGTGTTGGTGAGTATTTGAGTAGGGGCATTGCATATATTTAAATTTTGCACAAGAAAGGTACAGTAAAATGCAAAAATAAATAGACATTATAGATTGTTCTGTTTTCAACTAATGGTGGGTAGTTCTATTTATAATGTCTTGTGTTACGTGGTTCTATTTAAACCCAGTATAAGATTGTTGTGTTTACACCTAGTGGTAAACTGTCCTGTTTATACCCAGTGGTTGATAGCCCTATTTATATCTTGTTGTAGATTTTTCTTGTGTTAAATTGCCCTATTTATAATCTGTAGTAGTGCAGGTAGGCAGGTTTATCAATTTTACTATGTAGCTTGGTTAGATCAGAAAAATTATCTATATCAGTACTACTTCTTTAGAACACAATTAAAAAAATATGAATTCCAAAACACTGTTACATGAAATTTTAAGTTAAATAGCATGAAAGGAAGAACGGAAACATATATTGGTATAGAATTTCTATATTGCCAGCAGTATGGGTATAAAAAGAAGACTTATGAAGATGACCTATACCTTTGTTTGTCTGATTGGAATCGGGATGTTTCCTTGTGGAATCACCAAGCATTTTAATTCAAGATTATTTCACATTCTCTGAGTTAAGGAAACAGACAAAAGTTTTTAATGAATGATTTATTCAAAATGATTTTTCCACAAAAAATGGCAAATGTTACAGAGTGGAGTAACAGGTCTTACAATGTTTAGTAAGGGCACTCAAATCAAAACACTATACCAGAAGAAGGAGCCTGGTCAGATCAGCCAAACCAGCTGGACAATAGCTGCTTATGGAGCACTAGGTGAGATTTAGTGATGCTTTCAAAACGCCTTGCTATCTGATTTTAATCTAATACAATATTATAGATGTAATTGATTAAGTATTGTAAATGTCATAATTGTCATTGAGCAAAGTTAATATTACTTGACTGCTTTTGTTGTTCAGATTGTATGAGATTCGGGTAAAGTGATTTACATTGTTATATTTGTAGAATCTGAGTTGATTTTTTAGAGTAGAGACCTATATTAAGAAGAGAAACATTTTGGTTGTGTTGCAGTAAGGATGCTCACCAGCAGTCTACAGACCAGAGATGTTGTGGTGTTTATCAACAATACTGTCAGCGCCTCTATGAATATAACAATGGTATGCATGCTGATATACTACAAACAGAAGCCAAAGATCAAATCAAACTAAGACTGCTTAGTTTCGTTTTTATTGCAGGCTGCTTAAACGACTTTGCTCACTGCAAGCTGCTTAAACGACTTTGCTCACCTAACTATGGTAAAGAGAGTAGTCTAAATACTGTGTGCCATTACATACTACACTGTGCAATAAAGAAAGCAGATGGATATTATAGTGTTGCTATTTTATTTTTCATGGAAAATCCTGACTTTAATGTGTAGATGAAAAGATTGTACAAAACAATTGAAAAACACCTTTCAATACAAATTTAGATTTTATGTTCAGAAATTGTCTGCTAACAATGTTTGTCAAAACTTATATATTAAGAGAGTCTCTCTCTGATACTGCAGGGGTTATGCTTACTATCACTTTCTGCACCCTTGGAGCATTTCATGACAAAACTGAAGGGAAAAGCGAAGTACAACATACCGTTAAGCTATCATTAGATTTGTTTGATGTAGATCAAAGGGTCAAACTAGTCTTCTCTTTTATCCACAAGGTGTCGCACATAAAATCTGCAATTTTGCCATGAAAGGTTCCAGGAGTGTAGAGAGTGTTTGTCAGCGTAACCAATTAAGTATCGAGGATGAGATAGTTTAGGCAAATAATGTTAGATGTTTAAAGATTTTCTGCCAATGATTTCAGATTTGAAGGGAATCTCTGCCAATAATTAAGATTATACTAAGGTGTTGAGCTAGTCTGTGCCAATAATGGTAGATGTGACGAGACTTCCTACCAACAAAGTCTGTGCTAACCATGTTAGATATTAAGTCTCTGCCAAAAATACCACATATTGAGTCTCTGCCAGAAATGTTAGGTGTTGATAGAATTTCTGTCAACGATGGTCGATGTTGCGAGGGTCTCTGTCGGATGAATATTGTAATCAATAGAAAGAGAAGAGTTCGTCCTGTATTTTCCAGACAGTGCCTCTGAAAGAAAAAAGAGAATAGAATATAACTTAAACATATATGACGTTGATTTTAAATAACATCGGATGCACTTTTATACCGTAATATTATAACCGAGCCAGAAAGAAATGTACTTCCTTGCGTTGCTTTCGAAGAACTTGTTTTACCTGCACCTGTATACATGTTCACACATCTTACTGACATAATATTTTATTAACTCCACAAGGATTGCGAAACAAGTTATTTCAGCTTTTACTCATCACTCTTGTGGACTCGGACGTAATCGCATAAGGGTCTTACTGTGGGAGGAAATCTAAGTACACTGAGAAAAGCCTAAGGTGGACGGGTAGTTGACTTCCTAACTTTACGACTCCGTTCGGGGAATCGAACTCGGTTAAGTGAAAGGCAAGTGCGTTACCACTGCCCAACACGACCACGTCAATGGGATACATTTACCACTTACTTAATGTGAAGTTATAAATTTAACATAGCACCTCATTATATCACGACCTTATAATGTTGATGATCTTAATATCTCCTGATGCCTTATGATGATAACAGATGATTCATTCTCGTTCTTCAGCAATAAATATTTGCTTTGAAATCCATAATAAAACACAATAACTAAAACCTGTAAGGTTACATATTGAGATCAAATGAACAATTGACAGGTAATCAATACCTTATATGCTTTATTACATTGAACGTAGATTATAGTAATGAGATTCTCCTTACTGACACTTAGATGTCAGTTTATTTTATTTCTCTCCCCTCTTCCTCCTCTTTCTTCTCCTCAGTTCTTTTCGTGGTAGTCAAACTGTAAGTTTCCTTCTGTGTTGGCAATGTAGATTTTGCTTGTGGATAGGATACTGCATTACCTGAAAGAATGATAATAATGCCAAGATATTATTTTCAGATTTCTGAAGAATAGACACACTTTTATTCAGATGATAATTATGATGTTTATACAAGCAATCTTATTACAATCTTGGAATTCAATTTGATGTGTACTAGTGTTGGTTTTGGTCCCGAGTGACAAATAGGAGTTCGACCAGCAACATCTGATGTTGCGTTAATAATTCCATAATAATTTGAATTTTCATCCAAAATATGTTTCAAAAGAAACGCGCCAGTCTAATTAATAATCATGACATAAAGACATGAACTGAAATCAAAACTGACAAAAATTGAGTAATAACATTTGTTACAATAGGTTGTTAGAGGCAGTTACTCTTAAAAAGATATATATATATATATATTATCATATATTTCATGATTTTTATCTGAGAGATAACAAGGATAACTCATTCCGCATCATCTGCATTTGGTAATTACTATCCTATTTAATCATGTTATACGTTCTTTGGTTAATGTTTGATACCTGTAGTTGATCTCGCACTGGGCGGTGCTATGGTCGGGATTTCCTTTGTCACTACGATGGACGAATTCAACAATGTACGCAACACAGACATCAACGGGTTTACGCCTAGTCCACAGACGTTGTTAAAGTCGTCCAAATCCATCGCCCATACTATGGAACCTCCAAGCCCGCGAGTAAGGATGTAATTTGCCTGGGTATATATACAAAACAGTGTAAGATGTTAATAATTTGTTTTCGTTGGGCTACCAAGTATTGTGAAAAATGTTTTTTCAACGGTTTGTCGCCTCCAAGGTTTCACGACTTAAGCCCTTGGTATTTCCTAAGTCCTAAAAGGTTGAAACAGTTGTATGATACATTTGAAATTATTGTTTGGCTCCAATCCTTTAATGCTTAATTCTGTATTGAAAAGTGCTATTTTCTAGCATGATGAATAATGCATATTTATATGTCGGTGTCTATGTAAATTGTTCATGCTTATAAAAATAATCAACGATTGTTTTAATTATAATGCCATCAGACCTTTACTATAAAACTACCGCTGTTACAACATCACTTGAAGAGTAATGTCATCACTAGTGGTGATATTAGATTTCTTAAATCAGTGATATACGTTTTTATGAAATTTATAGATTCCGTTATGACTACCTTGACGATGAAACTCTCGACGTCATCATATCCAACCCACTGGTCACCACTGTAGGCGTATGGAACTTTGTGTTCTTCGTTCCATACTCTCGTCCACCCTTTATTTACTATTCTATCACATATCTATAACAACAACAAAAGACCGTCATGAAAATATAATCATCATCCAAAATTAGATTTAATAACACTAGGGAAATATGTACACGGAGACTCCTGAAAAAGTACAATTAGAATAAGGCCAGATGTTCCGGAAGAGTACGCGTCGTCTGCTTTATCGACGACACCTGTCATGTAAATGTTGGTCAATCCAAGTAAGTAATGCCAAGTTCTCAAATGAGAACAACGGAGCTAACTGGATATTAACGAGCATCAAAGAAATAGGACATTTTTCAATGAGATCATTTATTGACCGTAATATAAGCCCCCATAATTTTTATTTTCATTCTGCATCATTTGAAACCCTGTGCTATTAGTTTCGTCGCCAGTTGACGATTCTTGCACGAAAATCTTAATATTAAGAAATTGATCCTGAACAGAATTAATTCTGGAAATATCTAAATGGATGACAAAAAATCTGTTATAGAGAACACCGACCTCGTAATATCCCAAATATCCCACTTCGCCGGTGTATTCGCCCGGTGTTCCACCTCCAGTTATTGCAGCGCCTAGTTCTACATTTGTTGGAGACGCCAGAGTAAACGACCGTCCGTACAACGCCAATCCCATAACCAGTTTGTGTGGTGGAGCACCACGAGATATCCAGTACTGTACGGCAGCATTCTGAAATTTACTTCCGGAAGTTAAATCATCACATATTGTCAATGCCCTTAACGTGGAATAGAGACCGTCTCAAGTAAACCAACAGAAAGAAAACACAGCAGCTTGATGTTTACTTAATTAGAACAAAAGAAACAGCTCAGCAATTAACCAACTGTCATAGAAATAGATTGAAACACACGAGGAGTAAGTAATTTGTACGTACAAAAACAATGATAAACTATAGTGGTCACCTGGTTTAGTAATTTCTGGTCAGCTGTTTCATCCTGTCTGGCATACAGTGGACTATTGTGTCCGGTTGTATTATCCCATACGCCATGGAAATCATATGACATCAAGTTCATAAAGTCGACATGCCTGTAATAACACAATAACGTTTTCAGACAAAGAACCTATCAATAATTGCTTGAACATATTCAAGTCACTATCAACGAAGAGATTATAAATTACAAAGAGAGTCTTGCATTGATGTCAATTTATACATATGATATAAACATTATACTCTTTTGTTTATTCCAATAATAAATCCGATGTTTTGTGAAATTGTGCTGTTATAACTTCACAAAGGAAAGCTTGGATTATGATTCTTTTGTTGGTTGATACACTTACTGTGATATAATGTCAATTTCGTAAGCAGCGTCAATAATTTCCTTCGATGCCGATACCGCAATTGCTAATTCTAATGGAGGTCGTTTAGTAGATATGCCTTCAAGGTCAAATTCACGACGTAAAATCTGAAAATAAGATAAAGTTGCGATAACACATTTCTTTTTTGTTCTCGTAGTATTTTCAATGAATTTATTATGGTGATTTTAGTTGATAAGGAATAATATCTAACCTCCATAAGCCGTGTAAATCGTAATTTATCGCCAGGGTCACTGGTGTCGTAAGCAGGATACTCCCAGTCAAGGTCAAGGCCGTCAAACCCGTGTCGTCGCAGAAACAGTATTGCATTAGCGGTAAATGTTTCTATATTCTGATCTGATGAAGCCATATCAGAAAATCTCTGCACGCCATGTGTAAAGCCGCCTACTGCTAACATCAACTTTAGATTTGTGTTAGTCCCTTTCCAGTTCATTACTCTCTGGTACAATGCTGCGGATGCAATAAACACAAAACTAATGTATTTAAATAGCTAATACTGTCATCATTTAAGCGAACTACCTAGCCGCCATCTTATATAGCCCCAATGGCAATAACAGGGTTTTTGGTGATGAGCATTATGATCATGATTATTCGAAAGTGAACTTTCCCTTTCTTTGTACTTACGTATACCGTCTTGATTGTCCATATTGGGCGTTTGGAAATATCATACCGTAATATATAAAAGATAAAAAGCACGTCCTTCGGTGTGAAGCAGACGTTCTTAGGAATCCCCCTTTAATCGCCCTGTGATTTTCAGCGGGGCACATAGCTATTTTCATTGTATTTGAGCGGGGGTCCATGTTTGTTTATTCTTTGACTTACGCAAACATATTCCATTCAAAACTGGTGATATTCTATACTTATCTGCTTCTTAAAAATCGGAGACAATACCGACATATAAACACTGAGAAAATGCCAGGAGAATAAGACATGATGTTCCGGAATAGTAAGCGTATTCTGTTTCATCGACGACACCCGCAGTTTGTATCTTAGTAAATGCTCTATCTTAGAAATGTCACTTTCTCAAAGGAAAACAGGGTTAGTAATGCTCCCCAACAAAAACAAGGTAAACATCAAAGGAACCAATAGACATGAAACAAGTCCAACTTCGTATCCCGAAATATAATCTTCGCAATGAGATAGTTATGACAACAATGATATGTATATCGACTTACGCAATTATTAAGTTATTTCAAAATTGATTTAGTATCTCACGGTATCACATCTCGAAAAAAGGCAAATCTTAAAAACAAGAATTGATATTATTTACATACACATGTATTATGTATGATATTGATAATATACCTAAGTCATTCCACTCAACTGTGGCTATGGTGTTTCCGTCCAGCTGAGCAAATGCATACACGATGTGTGTACAAAGGAAGGGGTCGAGGTTTTCAGCTGTAAAAGTCATGGGACTTGCTCGGTACTGGGCCCAATTTGTGAAATAGCATACTCTTTTGATCGCTGATGTCCCTGTAATATAATTTAAACACCGTTACATTAAAACAATGTAAACTTTAACTTAATTCTATCGTTTTAATTGTGTTTTGTTTTTTCGTTAAATCGTAATTTCATCCTTGAATGTGAGGGAGACATCGCTGAAGATATTCGTTTCGGTAAAAAATGACAATTCCAGCCCTACCTGTTTCCCGTGTATGTGTATGACAAAGAAGAGAGACGGAAATATCGGTGTTCCTGAATATTTCTTTCTGTTTAGGATATATCTCGTTATCATACTGTTGTGTTATGTCTGAGTTCACATTGAGATCCTACCTTTCTGACAAGTGAAACAATTGATCAGTAAAGATAACAATTTATGCCTTACCCGGAGGGAGGTCAGAGGTTACTCGAGTGGTCAGTCCAGGAGTTGTAATACTGTCTGTAACGGTGGGTAGTGGAGCATCCGTGATCGGTCCGACAGTTTGACGTTCGAGCTTTTCCCTTAAGATAGACATGAGTGGGTTAACCCCCTGACCGCATACGTTAGTGAAATCGTCTAAGTCCATACTCCACACCATAGACCCCGCCAGTCGCATTTCCCGTATGAAATTAGCCTGAACATTCAGTAAAATAAAGAGAAAAATTTTGACCATTAGAATCACTGACAAGTTCTAGAAAGACGAAACAACTGAATGATGCTATTGATTCATTGTTTGGCTTTACTTTATTCTAACTTGAAATATGTAATAAAATGTGTCTTTTACACACTCTTTGTATCGTATATAGCTGCAGCTTATTGGGAATTTTAAAAACAAGAAACCAGTGCAGATATCTGTTTACTTTCTTAATTTGCATTTGACGAGAAACATCTAATTTGTTGTATAATTTGTAAAGTAAAAATTACCTTGGAAGCAAAACTTTGGATGTCATCGTATCCGACCCACTGGTTTCCGTGATAGGCGTACGGAACCTGGTGTTCCTCGTTCCAAACTCTTGTCCATCCTTTCTTGATATTTTCGCAAACCTGAAGTGAAGTCAATATTAATGTGTATTTATTATTTTGTGTATTTATTATTTAATAATTGATGCATAATCCTCAAAATTGCAATCGGTAGAATAATATATATTCACATATAGTTATAGTAAGTATAGTAAGATAAATTAAGTTATTGTCTTACATTTGAATCCTTCTAAATTTCGTCTACGTATTGGCGTGCTAATTTTTCAACATTTAGTTTGCAAATCTTTAAAATAAAACAGAGTAGTATGAAGATATTTGTGAAATACTGGTTTTGATTTGTTGTTACTCTGAAAATCGGACTTTTGTAAGGACGTGTAACATCTTCGTAAAGAACGCTGTGAGATAAGTTCATTATAAACAAAAACAAAATATAAAAAAATATAAAATTGAATATCAAGTATAGAAAGCAGGGATAGGATATGAAGAAAATCCATAAAAATCCGAAACCTCGAAATATCCTAGGAAGCCTGCCTCTTGTGTGTATATGCCTTGTGCGCCGTCTCCTGTTGTAGGGGCTCCTAGTCCTACGTCCTTAGTGTTGGCTAGTGTAAATGACCTGCCATACAAAGCTATACCCATCACCAGTTTGTGTCGTGGAGCGCCAAGTGACAACCAGTAGTGTACGGCTGCCTCCTGGAAACCAAACCATATCCAAACTAACACTGTTAGTACTATATCATTGGGCTATATACATATCAACAAAGCCGTTAAATTTGAGGCCATGATAAGAACGAAGAAAATTCTTCGGAGAAAAAGAAGGAAAACCCTTTTTAAAGACCTTTCTTATTTATTACTGAAATAAACTCAGAATTTATTGATTTCCTGGTGATGATCAGATATATATTTCAATCGTTTGACTGAGTTTACCGATAGTGATACGATGTTGATGGGGAAATTAACAATTGCTTATAACCTATAAATACTGATTACTAACCTGATTTAAAAACAGTTGGTGCCCTTGTTAATCTTTTCTAGCGTGTAAAGGGCTGTTATGACCAGTGATGCCATCCCACGAACCATGAAAATCGTATGACATCAAATTGATGAAGTCCAGATTTCTAGGTATAAGTATTTTACAGTGTAACAGGATGACGATCATAATGATATCACACGAGTTTTTGTATGGCATCAACAAAATAAAAAAAAAAATTAAGATGACATGAAGATGTTCCCAAACAGGGGAATGGAAGCTATATCATGCCACGTACACACGTTTATATTTATCATATAAGTATCGTTTTTCAAGCCTTACTGAAAAATACCAAAAATATCAAAATGCATTAAAAGTGTAAAATGTAAACTCACTTTGATATAATGTCGACTTCATAACCATCATCAATGATGACTCTGACCGCAGATACCGCCGCAGAAAGCAGCAATGTCTCTCGTCTTGTTAATACACCCGCTTCGTCAAATCTCTGTCGTAGAATCTATCAAAACATGGTTACCTTTGCAGTAGCTAATTATGGTTTTGTTTTGTTAGAAATGACCAAAATTTGACATTGGTAATATGTATTTGAATTAATTAAGGGTAATATAACATGTGTTTTCTAAACGAAAATTAAAAGCTGTTTAGGGTACCCATATTCAAAGGAAACTGTTACAGAAAGAATAGCGTCTTTTTGTAGCTAATAAAAGCTTATACAGGTCTTGTAATGTTTTCATAAAAGCAAGAAAAATTGAATTAAAAAACAATTGTATTTATGGAATTGATCATTTATAAATGAATAATCCGGGTAATTGTACAATAAAATTTCAATAAGATGGAGCCTTCTCTGATTGTTTTTTATCAAGATATACAACCTTATCTTTGACATACGTCTGGTACCGTACCTGAATAAGTCTCGTGAACCGGAACTTGTCACCTTTACTACTTTTGCCGTAGGCAGGGAACTCCCAATCGAGATCGAGACCGTCAAATTTGTACTTTCTCAAGATACCGACAACATTTGTGGCGAATTCCTCAATATTCTGATCGGATGAAACCATTGCCGAAAATCTTTCCACCCCATGGCTCCATCCTCCAACCGCTAGCATGACTTTCAAACGGGGGTTTACCGTTTTCATATCTACCATTCTACCGTAGAGAGCTGTAAACATATAACTATGTCACAATCGATACACGGGATCATGAATAAATTTCGTATACGATTTTGTGTAGTGAGTCTTAGAAGTTCGTATTTACATTGAAGCTTCCGGACGAGTTTGATAAAATCCCAGGCGAAATGAAAACGTTTACATATTTTTAAACACATTTCTCAGAAAAGTTATATTTAATAAGATTTTGTTGCACAATTATCAATTCATGATGTAACGTCATTGTCAACAACACAATCCGATTTCTGACTGGTGCAACCAATAAAAAACGCTCCAAGGTATATCAAACTAGTAACATATGCAAATATAATGCATGTGTGAATTCACTGGATAACAAATAACTTAGCTATTATATTGATACATACTGTTCCATACACAATGTTTTACATTTAACAACAACAGGCATCTGTTAATGAGAGCATGCATTTGAGTTACGTTTTATATAGAATGGTAATTCAGTATATTATAGATAACAGGGCCCATATACACCTTTCTCCAGAAACCTTGACATTTTTTTTTTATAAACTCAGGGAAAATTGAAACTGTTCCATTTCCTTGAAAATAATGAATTTGTCAGAAAGAATTGAAATTACTATATATACTATAAAAACACAATGAACAAAGCAAATAAACAAACTCGCATAAAAAACGTACAAACGTCATTCCACTCGACCGTGGTCAAATTGTTTCCGTCCAGATGTGCAAATGCATAGATGATGTGTGTACAAAGGAAGGGGTCGAGGTTTTCTACAGTAAAATTCATAGGGCTGTCTCTATACTGGGCCCAGTTGGTGAAATAACACACCCTCTTAAACTCTGACATCCCTGTAACAATAGCAAAAAATAAATTCTAAAACCTGCAAAAAATCATTATGTTTTAAAAATATTGTAAAAATACTAAATTTGGTGCAATAAAAAATTTACATCAAAATCTAACTGTGGGTTTTAAACGGAAAAAGGTTGAATACAAATTCTGAAATCTTACATTTAATTTCCGATATTTTCACGGAGTAGAAGGAGTTTGGTTTGTATGAATATAGAGTATTAAGTCTCTCAAACACAGATATGTCAATTTTGATGCCAAATACATGTCTTAAATATGTTGATTTTTCATTTTATAAAGTCCAAATTTCTTCAACATGAAAATGCTGTAAAATCATCCATTTACCTGCAATTAATTACAATTTATATATATTTGAAATAGAGAATATGTGATGTAGCTTTATGAAAGTAGAACACTTTTGACGAATGGTTTCGACAAGAAGTTCAAAAAGATTTCAGATCAAAATAAGTCCAAACCTGGATGGAATGGGACAAGAACTACATATAATTAACATATGCTATAGTTTTATGGTTTGTATAGATACGCAGGAAAGCAGCATTTGCTCATGGTTTACTAGTTATCAACCATTAATGGTTCGCTTTGGTATCACGTAAGGCAGTAATCAATCTCAGTTTATACTATTACATACACAAACTGTACGATATAAAGAATCTACCAATCCATGAAGTTTGGAGAAAGGCTATTGATAATTAAATTACGGATCGCCTCTCTTGTGTGTTTTATTGTGCAATAGTATTAACAGATATTAACGTGATATATACATTTTATGTGGATATACAGAAATCACAATAAAGTAGATACAACTAATGATATTATCTGTGCAGAAGATTAGTTTTGAAATGTAAAGGTGATTTAGAATACATATGTATCTGTCTGTCTGTACAAACGTTCTTAAATTTATGTTTATTTTAGAAACTTTGACATACCTAAGATATTTGAGGCCACCAAAGAAAACATGTCGACTAACACCAGTAAAATCACTGGATACTTCATCTGAAAACACAAATAATTTTGTTTAATATGATGGATAATTTGGTCGAGAACTGGTTGCTTCTCCTTTCGACACAGTAAGGAATAGGACAAAAAACAAATCTACACGACTAATCAACTGAAATAAGAGTACATAGCCAGTGTCTTACAAAATAGGCTGAATTTGACTATCGAACCTTTTACAGTTTAAGTGAAATTGTGTTTACCTTACAATGCCGCTACATTGATTTAGGCATGATGATGTAAGCCCAACTAATTGATACGCAGGCAAACATACTCCCAAAACAGAATTTGCTTAACACAGTATAAAAAATCGTTTATTTTAACTGTCATCTATATTTCAGATTTAGTATGTCAGTAACATAGAAAATGTTTTCAGTGAATTAATGGTGTTTACATCAAAATTATATTTGCCGACAGTGGAGCGCCAGTACCAGGATAATAAGTGATCTTTGAACTGGGACACCAATAATTCAGGACTTGATATTGCTCTTACATATTTGAAAACCGAACGAAAAAACAACATTCAAACTTATCCAAACCAATTAATGTGTATCTCTCGAGCTTACACTAGAACAATACAACATGATACATAAGTTCAGTAAGGTAAAAACTGTAGGTTACATACGTTACCTTTGTCCAGGTATTGAGTGTACTCTCTGTTTTCTTACCTCCTAGCTCCAGTGTAGATATAACACCATATACACAGTAGATGGCGGGTGTGGACAGGTACGCCACTGTCGGTCCAACAGTTATGTAATAACTGGTTGGGGTATGAAACTTACAAAGGAAGGAGCAATAATTATCTTGAGTCAAATTTTTTTTGCTTTGTGTCAAGTGTCAAGTAAAATCGCTTTCCCCTAATATTGGTAATCAAAATCTTACATGTTTTTAATCTAAGGCTCTTGTAAAATGTATATCAAGTTTTTTTTTGAGAAATTCATATTCAAATTCGTTATGTTTCCATGATCTTTCGCTTTGTCATTTTCTATCTGAAATATTATCAAATTCAAAATGTCAAAACCTAAAAGATATTTAAAAAGAAGAAATAGATGTAATTCCCACCATATCTCAGATTGTTTTCGTTACCTGATGATCTGTACACATTAATCTAGATCGTTAACCAGACGAGACTATGTCCACGGTAACTTGAAGTTCACAACAATCAGTCCGCACAATATCGGAGGCCTTAGGCAGGTCGTGATCAAGGAAAGGTCAGTTCAGGAAAATTTTAGACCTACTATGTGAGTTTATGTGTTTTCGCTGAGTTTATTTGTGACATGTTGTTTTGGTTGTATTTACGTTACAAACACAACAATGACAAAATGTTCAGAACTTTCTACCCTTAAATTGATACAGGTAAAGGTATACTATTCAGGTGTTGTCGTCAGATTAATATATCACATAATATTCCTGAATTCGGACTTGTCATACGTTTGTAGATGTCACTAGTGTGATATAGTGTTAAAAAGACTGTGGTGTCATATTATGGACAATGACGTTGCTTCATGAATTTAAAATAACACAGTAAAAAGGCTACCTCCATTTCATTTTGCCCTCCACATCTTGACTTCATAATCTGTCAAATTGTAACTATTCTTTGATAAAAAATGTCATACTTTTTTACATTACAGAAGTTGTTCTGATGCTCGTCTGGTAGTTTCAAATTTCGCTCATACAGGTTCGCAAAAATCATAAAATTTCATAGAGAATGAAAACAATATACATTACATCATCAAGCTAATGTAACTATCATAGCCGTCGGGGAATGTCTTTTCTTGTACTCCTGTTTTTGTAGAGTTGATTAAGCCAATATTACATCGAATTCACCTAATATTACGTACTAACATCATAGTTTATTGGATTTTTATGTGCTTCATCGTGTGACAGTTGATTTTAGATATATTATCATATTTATAGAGTCGATTACTGGCAGCCAATATGAAGCTTTCGGGTTACTTTTCTATCTCGGCGTTCTCTATATCATGTGTTCGCAAATATGTCTGAAGAGGTAAGTTCGCGAATTCAAGTATTTTCGAAATCTAAGTGATTTACGGTATATTTAAAACAAATTTGTAGTGTTTTCAAAATAATTTGAAAATATTTATCATAATATTCAATGTGTTTAAAAATGTTAAGATGGCTGAATGATATCAAATATGCCATAATCACACGCGATATTGACGCGATGTCGTGATAAAGACCAATAATGACAGTTTTTTTTAAACATGGAGCTTCAATCTCCCTGCAATTATTTCTTTTGTTTATGATGTTATGATTCAGGGATCTACTCTGATAAATTGTTGTTTTGTTGTTATGATTCAGGGATCTACTCTGATAAATTGTTGTTGTGTTGTTATGATTCAGGGATCTAGTCTGATAAATTGTTATTGTGTTGTTATGATTCAGGGATCTACTCTGATAAATTGTTATTGTGTTGTTATGATTCAGGGATCTATTCTGATAAATTGTTGTTTTGTTGTTATGATTCAGGGATCTACTCTGATAAATTGTTATTGTGTTGTTATGATTCAGGGATCTACTCTGATAAATTGTTATTGTGTTGTTATGATTCAGGGATCTACTCTGATAAATTGTTGTTGTGTTGTTATGATTCAGGGATCTACTCTGATAAATTGTTGTTTTGTTGTTATGATTCAGGGATCTACTCTGATAAATTGTTGTTTTGTTGTTATGATTCAGGGATCTACTCTGATAAATTGTTATTTTGTTGTTATGATTCAGGAATCTACTCTGATAAATTGTTGTTGTGTTGTTATGATTCAGGGATCTAGTCTGATAAACTGTTGTGTTGTGGACTGCCTGTATAAGCCCGGTACATTCTTGTGAGTGGTCCACGACTGCCCGTATACGCCCGCTACATTCTTATGTGGGGACTTGGACTGCCTGAATAAGCCCTGAGTAGCTTTGGATGTCTATATTATACTTGTTTTATTTGATTGCTAGTCTCAAGTCCCATACTTTCTTGGATATTTATGTAAGACAGGTTCTTGAGTTGGCCTGTTAGATAATGTCTGATATGTGTGGAATTTGTTCTGCTATTTACATTAGCTTAGTGTTTGTTGTCAATATAACGTAACCAAGAACTACTGTTAGGTAATACAGGCGAGTTGCTGATTTAGACTGACAAAGTAAACTCGGTGATACTTTCTGTTGATATAAAATGGTGCTAGCTATTTGACATCTTACCAATAAATTTTACAGCACTTTACAGGCAAGCTGTATTTACGTCTACATAAACCTATGACAAGTAGTATTTCGAGTAATTGAGACAAACTTCAGCGTAGAATGAAGTTAATGTTTTGTAAATATTATTTATCAAATTCTATTCAAGTTTTACTTGTAACACATAACATAATCTTGACAACTGGTTTCACTGGGACACCTGTAAAAATCACTTATACAAACATATGTATGTATTTGCAGATCACTCGTAATGTTTTCTCATTTGCCATTCACAAGCCCTTGTAACAATGACATGTTATTTCATAGTCACAGACCTTACGTACACAAAGTATTCAAAACTTTATGTAGCTAGACTTCATACACAAGGGATAACGTCAACATAATTTAAGACTTTTAAATATTTTGGTCGTTGACAGATGATACATGATTCGCCTTTTTATTCAGTTACGTTGGCCAGCCTTCATTTCTTTACGTTTAGAAAAGTAACAAAATTACATATTTACAGTATATACTTCATTAAGTTACCAGCCATGGTGTACAACATAGAGGACTATCTTAAGTACATATTTGACCGATGTATTTTGTTTTTATACACTCTGTACTTAAGGTGTATGTATGTGTTATTCGGATCACAGATCCTTTTGCATAAACGTTATTTCTTTTGTGTTTTCGACATAGCCATATATATCTAGACTTAATTGTGTTTGGAAGACACAGACACTTATTTTCTTGTATGTTTAAAATGTGTGTGTTTCGCCATGTGTTCATGTCGTAAACTTTTTTTATTGTCGTATCCTTACAGTTTATGTTCGGACATCGTGTCTTGACGCAGTAGTATGCTTTTTACCCTACATAATTTCTTGCCTTTATGACCAGTGAAAATGTTTCTTCTTACAAATTTTCTGATAACAAGTAAAGATTTAATTAAACATATCTTTTTTTACTGATAAAAATATATTAGGTGTACATATAAACAATATACCAATAGAAAATGTCGTTAAATGTGTAAGTAGTATTATATTATCACAGAAATTGGAAAGTTTCCCTTACACGAAAGTATCTCTTACACACGCGTCATAAATTAGAAAAATAAATCAAGTTAATGATTCGTCATTATTACATAATAAACCCTAAAAATTAGCCATACGTAATTCTGCACCTAAGTAAAGTTAATAAAATGGTTGTCGTACTCTTCTCGTATTTGATATCCTTTTGTTCTTATTGACGCCATAGAAAAAGTGTAGCAGCCAAGACGAACAACCACAGAGCAAATACTCCATTTAGTAAGCCAATAGTGGAACCTGAAACATGAAAACATTTAAATGATTTTTAGAATGCATCACAAAGCAATTTGCCATCCATAGTTTCAGTTTTTAAGTCTATAATTTATTTTCCCCTGGATCAACTCATCACCATTTCAAAGATCTATGAAATATTGTCAAATAATAATAGCAATTGTGGTAATGCTATCTAAAAATACAAAACTATTAATTATTATACAATTTATACATTAAATACAGTTTTCCTGACGTATGAATGACACTGTTTTGCAGATACGATACAGATTCAGCACTCATTACGATACTTTTTCTGCCAAAATGTCTCTTCTACTGAATATCCTTCAGTTAGCCAAATTAACTCTATTAACAGTAAATGGCATTGTGGCGGTGACAGACACCTATTGACCAATCTGACCCCAGGAAAAGAAACAAAGAAATGGTATTCCTACCGCTATTATTTCCAAAACTATCAGTATCACATAATCCTGTGGTACAGGTTGATGAAACTAGAGTGTTGCTGGACTTTGTTGATACTGAGTTGACGGTAGAAGATGAAACCTCTGTCGCTGATAATGGCACACCGGAAGATGATGTCACAAGCATAGCGCTTGAGGTTGTTGATGTCTGTGTTGAAGTAGCAGGTTGTGCCTTTGTCGCTGAGCGTGATGAAGATAATCGTGCTGTAGAACCATCAGACAATTCAACTGTTGCCGAACTAGAGACTGCTGCAGGTGTTGTGGAAGTAACCATTGTTGATGAGCTGGAGGGTCTTATCCGTGTTGTAGAACCATAAGACGGCTCAACTGTTGCCGAACTAGAGACTGCTGCAGGTGTTGCGAGAATAACAGTTTGTGACACTGTTGCCGAGCTGTCCGATGTTGTTCGTAATGTAGTTTTATCAGATGACCAAACTGGTGTTGCGCTAATGACTGTTTCATGTGTTGAACTAACAGACGGGACTACTAGTGCTGAGCTGAAGACTGTGTCATGTGTTGTGGGATTGACAGAGGGGGCTGTTGTTGCTGAGCTAGAGGCTGTTATTCGTGCTGTAGAACTATCGGACAGTTCAACTGTTGTCGAACTAGCGACTGCTGCAGGTGATGTGAAAGCAGCAGGTCCTGTCAATGTTGCTGAGCTGGACGATGTTATTCGTGCTGTAGAACTATCTGACAGGTCAAATGTTGTAGAACTAAAGACTGCTGCAGGTGTTGTGGAAGTAGCCATATTTGCTGAGCTGGATGGTGTTATTCGTGCTGTAGAACTATCAGGCAGTTCAACTGTTGGCGAACTAGAGACTGCTGCAGGTGTTGTGGAAGTAGCAGGTTTTGCCACTGATGTTGAGCTGGAGGATGATATTGGTGCTGTAGAACTATCGGACAGTTCAACTGTTTTCGAACTAGAGACTGCTGCAGGTGTTGTGGAAGTAGCTATAGTTGCTGAGCTGGAGGATGTTATACGTGCTATGGAACTACCAGACAGCTCAACTGTTGTCGAACTAGAGGATGCTGCAGGTGTTATGGACGTAGCAGGTTTTGCTACTGATGTTGAGCTTGAGGATGATATTCGTGCTGCAGAACTATCGGACATTTCAACTGTTGTCGAACTAGAGACTGCTGCAGATGTTGCGGAAGTAGCAGGTTGTGACACTGTTGCTAAGCTGGACGATGCTATATGTGCTGTAGAACTATCAGGCAGTTCAACTGTTGGCGAACTAGAGACTGCTGCAGGTGTTGTGGTAGTAGCAGGTTTTGCCACTGATGTTGAGCTGGAGGATGATATTGGTGCTGTAGAACTATCGGACAGTTCAACTGTTTTCGAACTAGAGACTGCTGCAGGTGTTGTGGAAGTAGCAGGTTTTGCCATTGATGTTGAGCTGGAGGATGATATTGGTGCTGTAGAACTATCGGACAGTTCAACTGTTTTCGAACTAGAGACTGCTGCAGGTGTTGTGGAAGTAGCTATAGTTGCTGAGCTGGAGGGTGTTATACGTGCTATGGAACTACCAGACAGCTCAACTGTTGTCGAACTAGAGGATGCTGCAGGTGATATGGACGTAGCAGTTTTTGCTACTGATGTTGAGCTTGAGGATGATATTCGTGCTGCAGAACTATCGGACATTTCAACTGTTGTCGAACTAGAGACCGCTGCAGATGTTGCGGAAGTAGCAGGTTGTGACACTGTTGCTAAGCTGGACGATGCTATATGTGCTGTAGAACTATCGGACAGTTCAACTGTCGCTGAACTAGAGACTGCTGCAGGTGTTGTGAAAGCAGCAGGTTGTGACACTGTTGCTGAGCTGGACGATGTTATATGTGCTGTAGAACTATCGGACAGTTCAACTGTTGTAGAACTAGAGACTGCTGCAGGTGTTGTGGAAGTAGTTATAGTTGCTGAGCTGGAGGGTGCTATACGTGCTATGGAACTACCAGACAGTTCAACTGTTGTCGAACTAGAGACTGCTGCAGGTGTTGTGAAAGTAGCCATTGCTGCTGAGCTGGAGGATGTTATTCCTGCTGTAGAAATATCGGACAGTGCAACTTTTTCGGAACTAGAGTAAGCTGCAGGTGTTGCGAGAATAGCAGTTTGTGATACTGTTGCTGAGCTGTAGGTTGTTGTTCGTAATGTAGTTCTATCAGATGACCAAACTGGTGTTGCGCTAATGACTGCTTCATGTGTTGAACTAACAGACGGGACTACTGGTGCTGAGCTGAAGACTGTCTCAGGTGTTGTGGGATTGGCAGAGGGGGCTGTTGTTGCTGAGCTAGAGGCTGTTATTTGTGCTGTAGACAGTTCAATCTTTGTCCAACTAGAAATTGCTGTAGGTGTTGCGGAAGTAGCAGGTTGTGCCACTGTTGCTGAGCTGGAGGATGATAATTGTACTGTAGAACCATCAGATGGTACAACCGTTGTTGAGCTAGTGACTGCGGTATGTGTTGTGGAACTGGCAGATGGTGTCATTTTTGTTGATCTGGAGACTACTTCAGGCGTTATCGAAGTAAAAGCTAGAGATTCCATGGTTGAGCTTGTAGCTCCTGTCAATGTTGCTGAACTAGTAAATAATGGCATGAATGAGTGAGTTGATATTTCTTGTTTTGTGGCACTAGATGATGTCACAGTTGTTGGGCTAGTAGCTGTTGAAAAAGGAGTAGAGCTTATGGCCGTCGCGGATGATAATGGAAGTGGTTTTGATGACAGAGGAATGGTTGCAGGTGATGTACCTGTAGACATTATCTGTGGAGTTGAATAGTTATCTACAAAGACAAGAAACATTAATCACAAAAGTACAAGATATTTCATGTTATCAATCGAGTGTTCAAGACATGTGAATGGTGCAGTTCGCTACAAATTCATTTAAGATATATACATTATATGAACGAGCAATGGATTTAACTGCTTCATACACGTTCATTTGTTCGTCCTTCTAGCATTTGTCGGTTATGCTAGGGGCCTAGTATATAAATTTTCTTGAAGGTAAGTTATAATTAGTATGAGCAGCAGATATTTTATGTTACTAACTTGTACTTTACAATAAACACATCAACTTACGTAATTGCTTACTGCAATTTGAAAAGATGATATCATGACTAATAATTGTTCCGGATTGTTGACCGTCATGTTGTAATGACGAACTGGCCCGGTCCACTTCTGCAGTAATACTGAGTATTGCTTCTGGGTAGTTACAATTTTTTATGGATTCGTCCCAAAGTAGTCCTTGAGAACAACAATACCGAAAGTCCACACCAGTAGATGAACACTGGTAGTAACAGTTAGGCACACATGGATCAGGAAGGAATTCATATGGCGGACACACATCATGATCTATTTAAAATAAAAAATAATTGAAACGCTGCTGAGCTCAAGGCTTAATTCTGTCGGAATTGGTTGTGTTTACGTCAGATACGTTACATGTAACGACATTACATATCCGGTGTAACATGTACTTCGTAGTTATGTAAATCTTTGACAGGAATGAGAGATAATAAGAACACTTTAACTTGGAATAGATAGAAATACAACGACGGTGCATGTGTTTTAGCACTTAGTAAAATGAAGAGTGAAATTATCTGATTATATCAACTAATATCTTAGTATGTATGTATGTATGTATGTATGTATGTATGTATGTATGTATGTATATATGTATGTATATATGTATGTATAAATGAATACAAACGATGAATAATTCATGAAGATACGTTTTGTTACTTACGACATGCCGGGTCATACTGGATAAGATGTGGAAAGTTACAGTCCTTGATGAAGTCGTCCCAAAGACTTCCAGCAACACAACAGTAGTGGTAGGCCGTACCATGGGCGCAGTTATAATAGCATTGCAGATCACACTCATCAGCGAGAAATTCACCATGGGTACAGGATAATGGCGCTAAAAATAATAAAACTTGTGTGATAAAACTAATGAGTAATTTGCAGCTTTACTGTCCTGTTAAATATTAAGACAACAACAGAAGTTATGTGTTGAAAGTTCCATGAGAAATGGATGAGATAACTACATGTGTACAATTATTTTTAACATTAACTGATTATGTTATACGTATTTCTTCATGTGGGAACTGACAAATAAAGACTAATAATAATACAAACAACGTCATGCGCAGAATATTAATAGATTAGTTCTAATATTCTATTAGAGTACGTGCACGACTATTCTTCACATCAATATAAAATTAATATTTTTTTTTTCGATAAGGCAGTAGCTATTTGCGTTTATAAGATATAACATACCGTCACAGTTAGGGATGCTGTTGGAAGACGTGGTAGTTGCTGGTACTGTCATTTGACAGTTCTGCGTGGTATCATTCCAGGTGTAGCCAGACTGACAGCAGTGCTGTATGTTTTCCCCATTACAGCACTGGTACACACAAGAAGAGTCACACTGGGACGGGAGAACTTGTCCGTCTGGACATACTGCAGGTTCTGTGTACATAAACATACGATAAGTGACATTGAGTTATTGTTGATTACAACCGATGTGGAAAGTATTTATAATTCATATAAGATATGATCATGCTACAAAGTAATTTTGTGGAAAAAGGGATTTATCCATAATGTTCAATATCTGGATATGACCAGAATAGTTCGTAACCGATATTCTTTAACCCACCTATGAAGGAATACGGTTTCGCATTTATCGATAAATTTTTGACATACCACATGTAGTTCTAGCTGAGGTCGGTGATGTAGTGAGCGTGCTCGTTGATAACGTCACTATTTTAGAAGATGCATCTTGTGACGAGGTTATTGGGGTTATTGTATCAGGTCGTGACGAAGAAATAACAGGTTGGTCTGTTGATTTAGTCGCCTCTGTTATTGGTTCACCTGTAGATGAAGTCATCGCTTTTGTATGTATTTCTGATGTCTGTTCTGTTACTTGTACACCTGTCGATAGGAAATGTATCAACCTTAATGTCTTACTACCACATGAGAACTTAATTGCGGGCTTGACGTGTTATCGTTTGAGTCATTTCGTATTTTACATCAATATTACTCCTTTTTTATCAATTGAAATTCTTTGTTACGGTGCTATTACATATAATATCAAAACTTAGAAATGCCGTTTTCAACAAATCAACAAACATTATTAGGCGGTCGTTAAATATCTGCAGTTTTACCGCTCTCTTTAAAAGATTTAAATTGCTTCCATATTCAGAACCAAGACCAAACTGTATCCCTGCAACATATTCGCAATAAGATAATAATAATAATAAACCGCTTCATATGCTACACAAATCTACCCTACTCATATTTTGAAAAAAAAAGTTTATAACTTACTGCAACCTGTGAAGATAATTGGGTGAAAAATAACTGTCCTTGCAAGTTGCCCGCCGTATTGTGATGAAGTAGTGATTTGGTCCGTGACCGTTGTTTGTGATACCACTGTAGAAGGCATTGCTGCTGGATAGTTACAGTTTTTGATGGATTCGTCCCAAAGCTGTCCTGCAGAGCAACAGTACCGGAAATCCACACCCGTGGAGGAACACTGGTAGTAGCATTCAGGTACACATGGATCGGGGAGGAATTCATATGGTGGACAAGTACTATGATCTATAATTATTGGAAAGCATTTTATTACGTTTTGTTACATTCCTTAACGCGCTTTCACGTTCAAGAATCGATACTCGTGTCACTTTCGCACAAAAAGAATATCTATATTGTTTCAGTGACATTCTACTCTTTAAAAAAGCATAACATAAATCTTTGTCAGCAAGAAATTAATTTATGACTCCTAAAACTTACGACATGCCGGGTCGTACTGGATTAGGTGTGGGTAGTTACAGTCCTTGATGAAGTCATCCCATAGGGTTCCGGCACTGCAGCAGTAGTGATAGGCAGTATCATGGGCGCAGTTGTAATAGCACTGTGGATCACACTCGTCAGCGATGAATTTGCCGTGACTGCAGGACGAAGGCGCTGGAAAAAATAAAAATGTACATGTATATCAATTGTCAAGATTGTAATAATAGTGAACTATACTCGTACAAGCCGTAAATACTTAAACAGCCAAACGTTGGATGTTAGCAAATAATCTTATTGCGTTTAAAATTCATGACGTTTCTTGGTCAGTCTTGGCCATTGACATCACTGACATCAACCGCCATTATAGCTTAATATAGATCTATCGTAATTTTACTTTTATAAAATGGTTTCATCCAATAAAAATGTGAATTAGAGTCATGTTATGATAGCTGTAGCCAAACCGATTTGTAGCAAACACATTTTGATGATTCGATTTATCCGAGTTAATAAAGAGGAAAAATATCATTGTTATTTGCATTATCGAAGAAGTCAGCAAAACATCGGCATCGCAAAACTTACTGTTATATCATGATAACAACCTGAACTAGTAAAACATTTGAATAATTGAATAATTTGGAACCAAATAATGAGGTAAATAACAAAAAATACCGTCACAGTTAGGGATGTTGTTGGAGGACGTGGTTGCTGCTGGTACTGTCATTTGACAGCTCTGTATGGTATCATTCCAGGTGTAGCCAGACTGACAGCAGTGGCGTATGTTTCCCCCACTACAGCACTGGTACACACAAGACGCATCACACAGGGAAGGGAGAACTTGACCGTTTGGACATACTGGAGGCTCTGTGTTAACAAACATACCGAACACGAAAATTCACTAAACAGAAATGTCATTATTTTTATGAAGAACTATGCCAATCCAATAGCAAATCACGTATAATGAAAATCTTTGTTTACTATTACTTGATTTCTTTTCTGTTTTCTCTACAATAATTTATGTATTAATGATTCATTACCGCAATTATTCTTAGAGGACGTCGAGTCGGGTTCATTCGTCGTCAACAGTATTGTTGCAGAAACGTTTATGGGTGTAGAGTTTGTAGGCGTGTCCTCACCCGCTGTTGTTGGTCTCATGCTTGAAAACGGGGCAGATGTGGGAAGTATTGTAGTTGGCAAAAGTGTACTTGATCTCGGACTAGACAATGGAACACTTGAAGATGGCATTCCTGTTATTTGCAAACAAGTCAGTGAATAGCACATTTCAATACAAATTTAAAATGAGAAACACTTTAGCCACATAATAATATAAACTTCATATTAAATCCGAGGTAAGCACATATGCATATTTATGCATTGTATGCTAAATGTTAATATGCAAGTGGTACACTCACTAATACTCCACCAGCAGTGTCAATCATATGTTGTCCCAAAGATCGCACAAAAGACACAAAAAGGAATAGTAAATATATATAAGAAGAATTAAACAATTAGTTAAACTGCATCATTCAGCTTTTCTTCCTTCTTGGACTCGTCATTGATGTTCTATTATATAGCTGTTTCGTCCTTCTAATACTCGAGTCAGTGATGCTTCAAGTTTAAATGTTACACCTACGAGTCGACTGAGGAAAATCCAGAGTAATTGTAGGCAAAGTCAATTTGAAACGGGTAGGTGCACTTGCCCAATAATTTAGTCAATTTCGTAATTTTCACATTTATTCAACTTCTAGGAGTACGTCAATTCATGTGTATATACTGATCCGTGCCAGTTGTGGAATGATTCAAAACGTTGCATGCAGGCTACGACAAACCTCGAGTGCAAAAATTCTACCAGCAGCATCTCCTAATTGCTATCTTAAAGCTTGTTCAAAATTCACGTAACTAAGGTTACAGTTGCAACTTAATTGGAATTATAATGATTTAAAAAAGCAATAAATGGCTTACATTGCTTCAGTTTCATTATTAATAAAATATTCAAAGCCTCTCACCATCAGAAGGTATAAGGGTTGCAGTTGATATTGTTTGTGTTGATGAAGTTGGCTGCTGTGATATCATTGAAGAAGTCAATGGTGATTCGAAGGCGGTTTTCAACACATTCATCATGGGATTCGCTCCTAATCCGCATATATTCTTATGGTCGTCTAAATCCATAGCCCAAACCATTGAACCTCCCAGGCCCAATGTTTTGATGTATTCAGCCTTTAAAAATATCGTGCAAAATGAAAGAAAGTTTTTATAAATGTTGTGAAACATTATTTATTTTCGCATTCATACACAATACGTGAATCACATTAGAAAATCAAACTGATTTCACATGATCAAATACAAATAACTCAAGAATAAATGGTACTTTCGGCATTCACTAACCTTAATTCCAAAACTTTGGACATCATCAAAACCAACCCATTGGTTGCCACTGTAAGCAAACGGAACCTGGTGCTCGTTATGCCACATCTTAGTCCATCCTCCGTTTTCAATTCTATCACATATCTACAAATCGAAATAAAAATTGATAGGCTCATTTGCAACTCTATTACGGAATACCGACAATGGCTAATTTAAATACATTTCCGTACCTCAAAATAGCCCAGATAACCTGCTTCGGTTGTATATGCACCCATGACGCCTCCGCCGACCACCGCACTTCCCATGCTTGTGTCGAAAGAGCTTGCCAGTGTAAACGAGCGACCGTATAAAGCAAGTCCTAAGACTAATTTCTCTGCAGGGGTCCCATTCGACAGCCACAGTTGTACTCCTGCATTCTACAAAAATAACTTCCTTTTTTTCAGACTGTTTTGCACATAGCTAACTCTCTCTGAATCAAATTTAAATATAGACATGCTTAAAAATAGAAACCTTCTTGACCATGAAATTTCATCTGACGGTTCAACAACTTAGGATTATTTTCGTTGAAAATCGACGAAAATGGAACAGCAGCCTCCGATAAGAAAAAAAATCGAAACTTCGTACCTGATTCTTATCAAGTTCCTTTCCACTTTCACCACTTCTCTCATACAATGGACTGTTGTGTCCAGCGGTAGCATCCCACGTTCCATGAAAATCATACGCCATCAAATTGATAAAGTCAACATACCTACAATGTAACATCCACTATCGTAAATAACAATACTCGCCATTGGATAATAAAGGATTTCACATTGCAATTTTAATTTGTCTTGTTTTCATTTACGGTTTCCAGATATAACTATACCAAACACTGGTAATAACAATCCTATTTGTTCCTGGTTCACAAATTTGATTTAATATAAGTGTTATAACCAATGTTTACTTTGTTATTTACAATGGAATTCTTTTAGAAGACATGAAATTCTTACTGTGACACAAGATCAATTTCATAGGCTGTATCAACGGTTTCTCTACTTGCAGACACTGCTGCCGACAACAGCAACGCAGGCCGACTTGTTGAAGATCCTTCTTTATCGAATTCTTGACGTAGAACCTAAGTGAAACATGTCAAAACGATAAGTGTAGTAGTTGTTCCCGTGGGTAATTCGATGTGAATTGATAAAAACCGATGAACATTGACTAAGTGCAGTAACACACGAAAAAGTTTTCTCAGCGAATGAAATTCATGCAAAATTCCGTTACCCATTTCTGTTATTTTATTGCAAGTCGAGTTGCTTTTATTTACCATCGTTAGCTGTGTGAACTTTTCTCTGTCCCCAGCAGGACTTCCGCGATGAGCCGGATATTCCCAGTCTAGGTCAAGTCCATCAAAGCCACGCTGCCTCAAAAACAAGATAACGTTAGTTGCAAACTCTTCAATGTTCGACAGGGAAGAAACCATAGAGGAAAATGTAGAAACGCCATGGTTGTAGCCTCCAACTGCGAGCATTACTTTCAGGTCGGGATTCTCCGTCTTCTTACCCATGACTTCAGCGTATTGGGCTACAATAAAGAAATACATTGAATTCGGCAATAAAGTTGAAATGATACGTTAATTGAAAATTGCCTTTCCAGGACCCTCAGTACCACTTCTTTCATACTCACCTTCATCATTCCATTCGTAGGTAGCTAGATTATTACCACTCATCTGTGCAAACGCGAAGATGATGTGAGTACAGAGATGGGCATCGATATCAGCAGCTATATACGTCGCAGGACTTCCTCTGTACTGTGCCCAGTTCGTAAAATAACATACCCTTTTGTATGCGAGATTACCTATGCAAGAAGACAACAGAATGGTTTAATGGGATATTGATATACATACAAATGTTTTTTTTATATATATATATTACGAAAGAAAGTCTGATTCTATAACAATAAACATCAACTTAATTGCAAAAAGCTTACCAGAAGACGGCAGGGTTGTTAAAGCATTGTTTGATGTTGTTGTTTTTGGTGTGGTCTCTTGAGAAGTCGTAATTGACTGCTGTGACATCATCGTTGAAGCAATAGAAGGTGATTCTAAGACGGTTTTCAGAACATTCATCATAGGATTTGCTCCAAGTCCGCATATGTTGTTAAAGTCGTCCAAATCCATAGCCCAAACCATCGAACCTCCCAGGCCCAAAGACTTGATATATTCAGCCTTGTAACAATACAAATTGAGGCAAAATAAACGGCTGTTTGATTAAAGAATGCTAAAAATAATTTCTATTTTCGAATTCATAGACAATAAATGAGTTACCATAGGGGGAAAATACCAAAATGTCAACACAAGCATAATCCAAACTCAAATTCAATAAAACTAGGGCAAAATCTGTACAGAGGAAGATATTCACGCATGCTCCTGAAAAGAATTGAAACAAAAAGAATAATACCAGGTGTTCGGTGGAATAAGCGTCTTCTGCTTCATCGACGACACCGGCCATGTGAATCTTAGTCGATTCGTTAAGTAATGTCACGTTTTCCAATGAGAACAATATATATAAAAAAAAAACAATTGGAACAAAAGGCAAACTAACGGGTTTCCAGACTAGTTGACCAGTTCTTGCACGAATATCGAGATAATGAGAAAAGGCCACAGAACATCGAATCAACTGCGACATGTAAACATCATAGGCTTGGGATGTAGGAATGATGGTATCCAGAAATGGAAAATGCACAATAGGGAAATTAAAACCATCACGCTTATCATACATTTTGGTGGAAAGCTGTCCAAGTTGATTATGTTGTTGGGAAAGATCGAGATAGGCGGCTGATATAGAAGAGTATGTCGTATCATTACAAATACAAATAGCTGAACAATAAATGGTGCTTTCAGCATTCACTAACCTTAATTCCAAAACTTTGGACATCATCAAAACCAACCCATTGGTTGCCACTGTAAGCAAACGGAACCTGGTGCTCGTTATGCCACATCTTAGTCCATCCTCCGTTTTCAATTCTATCACATATCTACAAATCGAAATAAAAATTGATAGGCTCATTTGCAACTCTATTACGGAATACCGACAATGGCTAATTTAAATACATTTCCGTACCTCAAAATAGCCCAGATAACCTGCTTCGGTTGTATATGCACCCATGACGCCTCCGCCGACCACCGCACTTCCCATGCTTGTGTCGAAAGAGCTTGCCAGTGTAAACGAGCGACCGTATAAAGCAAGTCCTAAGACTAATTTCTCTGCAGGGGTCCCATTCGACAGCCACAGTTGTACTCCTGCATTCTACAAAAATAACTTCCTTTTTTTCAGACTGTTTTGCACATAGCTAACTCTCTCTGAATCAAATTTAAATATAGACATGCTTAAAAATAGAAACCTTCTTGACCATGAAATTTCATCTGACGGTTCAACAACTTAGGATTATTTTCGTTGAAAATCGACGAAAATGGAACAGCAGCCTCCGATAAGAAAAAAATCGAAACTTCGTACCTGATTCTTATCAAGTTCCTTTCCACTTTCACCACTTCTCTCATACAATGGACTGTTGTGTCCAGCGGTAGCATCCCACGTTCCATGAAAATCATACGCCATCAAATTGATAAAGTCAACATACCTACAATGTAACATCCACTATCGTAAATAACAATACTCGCCATTGGATAATAAAGGATTTCACATTGCAATTTTAATTTGTCTTGTTTTCATTTACGGTTTCCAGATATAACTATACCAAACACTGGTAATAACAATCCTATTTGCTAAAACCACCAAGTTCCTGGTTCACAAATTTGATTTAATATAAGTGTTATAACCAATGTTTACTTTGTTATTTACAATGGAATTCTTTTAGAAGACATGAAATTCTTACTGTGACACAAGATCAATTTCATAGGCTGTATCAACGGTTTCTCTACTTGCAGACACTGCTGCCGACAACAGCAACGCAGGCCGACTTGTTGAAGATCCTTCTTTATCGAATTCTTGACGTAGAACCTAAGTGAAACATGTCAAAACGATAAGTGTAGTAGTTGTTCCCGTGGGTAATTCGATGTGAATTGATAAAAACTGATGAACATTGACTAAGTGCAGTAACACACGAAAAAGTTTTCTCAGCGAATGAAATTCATGCAAAATTCCGTTACCCATTTCTGTTATTTTATTGCAAGTCGAGTTGCTTTTATTTACCATCGTTAACTGTGTGAACTTTTCTCTGTCCCCAGCAGGACTTCCGCGATGAGCCGGATATTCCCAGTCCAGGTCAAGTCCATCAAAGCCACGCTGCCTCAAAAACAAGATAACGTTAGTTGCAAACTCTTCAATGTTCGACAGGGAAGAAACCATAGAGGAAAATGTAGAAACGCCATGGTTGTAGCCTCCAACTGCGAGCATTACTTTCAGGTCGGGATTCTCCGTCTTCTTACCCATGACTTCAGCGTATTGGGCTACAATAAAGAAATACATTGAATTCGGCAATAAAGTTGAAATGATACGTTAATTGAAAATTGCCTTTCCATGACCCTCAGTACCACTTCTTTCATACTCACCTTCATCATTCCATTCGTAGGTAGCTAGATTATTACCACTCATCTGTGCAAACGCGAAGATGATGTGAGTACAGAGATGGGCATCGATATCAGCAGCTGTATACGTCGCAGGACTTCCTCTGTACTGTGCCCAGTTCGTAAAATAACATACCCTTTTGTATGCGAGATTACCTATGCAAGAAGACAACAGAATGGTTTAATGGGATATTGATATACATACAAATGTTTTTTTTTATATATATATTACGAAAGAAAGTCTGATTCTATAACAATAAACATCAATTTAATTGCAAAAAGCTTACCAGAAGACGGCAGGGTTGTTAAAGCATTGTTTGATGTTGTTGTTTTTGGTGTGGTCTCTTGAGAAGTCGTAATTGACTGCTGTGACATCATCGTTGAAGCAATAGAAGGTGATTCTAAGACGGTTTTCAGAACATTCATCATAGGATTTGCTCCAAGTCCGCATATGTTGTTAAAGTCGTCCAAATCCATAGCCCAAACCATCGAACCTCCCAGGCCCAAAGACTTGATATATTCAGCCTTGTAACAATACAAATTGAGGCAAAATAAACGGCTGTTTGATTAAAGGATGCTGAAAATAATTTCTATTTTCGAATTCATAGACAATAAATGAGTTACCATAGGGGGAAAATACCAAAATGTCAACACAAGCATAATCCAAACTCAAATTCAATAAAACCAGGGCAAAATCTGTACAGAGGAAGATATTCACGCATGCTCCTGAAAAAAATTGAACCAAAAAGAATAATACCAGGTGTTCGGTGGAATAAGCGTCTTCTGCTTCATCGACGACACCGGCCATGTGAATCTTAGTCGATTCGTTAAGTAATGTCACGTTTTCCAATGAGAACAATATATATAAAAAAACAATTGGAACAAAAGGCAAACTAACGGGTTTCCAGACTAGTTGACCAGTTCTTGCACGAATATCGAGATAATGAGAAAAGGCCACAGAACATCGAATCAACTGCGACATGTAAACATCATAGGCTTGGGATGTAGGAATGATGGTATCCAGAAATGGAAAATGCACAATAGGGAAATTGAAACCATCACGCTTATCATACATTTTGGTGGAAAGCTGTCCAAGTTGATTATGTTGTTGGGAAAGATCGAGATAGGCGGCTGATATAGAAGAGTATGTCGTATCATTACAAATACAAATAGCTGAACAATAAATGGTGCTTTCAGCATTCACTAACCTTAATTCCAAAACTTTGGACATCATCAAAACCAACCCATTGGTTGCCACTGTAAGCAAACGGAACCTGGTGCTCGTTATGCCACATCTTAGTCCATCCTCCGTTTTCAATTCTATCACATATCTACAAATCGAAATAAAAATTGATAGGCTCATTTGCAACTCTATTACGGAATACCGACAATGGCTAATTTAAATACATTTCCGTACCTCAAAATAGCCCAGATAACCTGCTTCGGTTGTATATGCACCCATGACGCCTCCGCCGACCACCGCACTTCCCATGCTTGTGTCGAAAGAGCTTGCCAGTGTAAACGAGCGACCGTATAAAGCAAGTCCTAAGACTAATTTCTCTGCAGGGGTCCCATTCGACAGCCACAGTTGTACTCCTGCATTCTACAAAAATAACTTCCTTTTTTTTCAGACTGTTTTGCACATAGCTAACTCTCTCTGAATCAAATTTAAATATAGACATGCTTAAAAATAGAAACCTTCTTGACCATGAAATTTCATCTGACGGTTCAACAACTTAGGATTATTTTCGTTGAAAATCGACGAAAATGGAACAGCAGCTTCCGATAAGAAAAAAATCGAAACTTCGTACCTGATTCTTATCAAGTTCCTTTCCACTTTCACCACTTCTCTCATACAATGGACTGTTGTGTCCAGCGGTAGTATCCCACGTTCCATGAAAATCATACGCCATCAAATTGATAAAGTCAACATACCTACAATGTAACATCCACTATCGTAAATAACAATACTCGCCATTGGATAATAAAGGATTTCACATTGCAATTTTAATTTGTCTTGTTTTCATTTACGGTTTCCAGATATAACTATACCAAACACTGGTAATAACAATCCTATTTGTTCTAAAACCACCAAGTTCCTGGTTCACAAATTTGATTTAATATAAGTGTTATAACCAATGTTTACTTTGTTATTTACAATGGAATTCTTTTAGAAGACATGAAATTCTTACTGTGACACAAGATCAATTTCATAGGCTGTATCAACGGTTTCTCTACTTGCAGACACTGCTGCCGACAACAGCAACGCAGGCCGACTTGTTGAAGATCCTTCTTTATCGAATTCTTGACGTAGAACCTAAGTGAAACATGTCAAAACGATAAGTGTAGTAGTTGTTCCCGTGGGTAATTCGATGTGAATTGATAAAAACTGATGAACATTGACTAAGTGCAGTAACACACGAAAAAGTTTTCTCAGCGAATGAAATTCATGCAAAATTCCGTTACCCATTTCTGTTATTTTATTGCAAGTCGAGTTGCTTTTATTTACCATCGTTAGCTGTGTGAACTTTTCTCTGTCCCCAGCAGGACTTCCGCGATGAGCCGGATATTCCCAGTCTAGGTCAAGTCCATCAAAGCCACGCTGCCTCAAAAACAAGATAACGTTAGTTGCAAACTCTTCAATGTTCGACAGGGAAGAAACCATAGAGGAAAATGTAGAAACGCCATGGTTGTAGCCTCCAACTGCGAGCATTACTTTCAGGTCGGGATTCTCCGTCTTCTTACCCATGACTTCAGCGTATTGGGCTACAATAAAGAAATACATTGAATTCGGCAATAAAGTTGAAATGATACGTTAATTGAAAATTGCCTTTCCATGACCCTCAGTACCACTTCTTTCATACTCACCTTCATCATTCCATTCGTAGGTAGCTAGATTATTACCACTCATCTGTGCAAACGCGAAGATGATGTGAGTACAGAGATGGGCATCGATATCAGCAGCTGTATACGTCGCAGGACTTCCTCTGTACTGTGCCCAGTTCGTAAAATAACATACCCTTTTGTATGCGAGATTACCTATGCAAGAAGACAACAGAATGGTTTAATGGGATATTGATATACATACAAATGTTTTTTTTATATATATATATTACGAAAGAAAGTCTGATTCTATAACAATAAACATCAATTTAATTGCAAAAAGCTTACCAGAAGACGGCAGGGTTGTTAAAGCATTGTTTGATGTTGTTGTTTTTGGTGTGGTCTCTTGAGAAGTCGTAATTGACTGCTGTGACATCATCGTTGAAGCAATAGAAGGTGATTCTAAGACGGTTTTCAGAACATTCATCATAGGATTTGCTCCAAGTCCGCATATGTTGTTAAAGTCGTCCAAATCCATAGCCCAAACCATCGAACCTCCCAGGCCCAAAGACTTGATATATTCAGCCTTGTAACAATACAAATTGAGGCAAAATAAACGGCTGTTTGATTAAAGGATGCTGAAAATAATTTCTATTTTCGAATTCATAGACAATAAATGAGTTACCATAGGGGGAAAATACCAAAATGTCAACACAAGCATAATCCAAACTCAAATTCAATAAAACCAGGGCAAAATCTGTACAGAGGAAGATATTCACGCATGCTCCTGAAAAAAATTGAACCAAAAAGAATAATACCAGGTGTTCGGTGGAATAAGCGTCTTCTGCTTCATCGACGACACCGGCCATGTGAATCTTAGTCGATTCGTTAAGTAATGTCACGTTTTCCAATGAGAACAATATATATAAAAAAAAAAACAATTGGAACAAAAGGCAAACTAACGGGTTTCCAGACTAGTTGACCAGTTCTTGCACGAATATCGAGATAATGAGAAAAGGCCACAGAACATCGAATCAACTGCGACATGTAAACATCATAGGCTTGGGATGTAGGAATGATGGTATCCAGAAATGGAAAATGCACAATAGGGAAATTAAAACCATCACGCTTATCATACATTTTGGTGGAAAGCTGTCCAAGTTGATTATGTTGTTGGGAAAGATCGAGATAGGCGGCTGATATAGAAGAGTATGTCGTATCATTACAAATACAAATAGCTGAACAATAAATGGTGCTTTCAGCATTCACTAACCTTAATTCCAAAACTTTGGACATCATCAAAACCAACCCATTGGTTGCCACTGTAAGCAAACGGAACCTGGTGCTCGTTATGCCACATCTTAGTCCATCCTCCGTTTTCAATTCTATCACATATCTACAAATCGAAATAAAAATTGATAGGCTCATTTGCAACTCTATTACGGAATACCGACAATGGCTAATTTAAATACATTTCCGTACCTCAAAATAGCCCAGATAACCTGCTTCGGTTGTATATGCACCCATGACGCCTCCGCCGACCACCGCACTTCCCATGCTTGTGTCGAAAGAGCTTGCCAGTGTAAACGAGCGACCGTATAAAGCAAGTCCTAAGACTAATTTCTCTGCAGGGGTCCCATTCGACAGCCACAGTTGTACTCCTGCATTCTACAAAAATAACTTCCTTTTTTTCAGACTGTTTTGCACATAGCTAACTCTCTCTGAATCAAATTTAAATATAGACATGCTTAAAAATAGAAACCTTCTTGACCATGAAATTTCATCTGACGGTTTAACAACTTAGGATTATTTTCGTTGAAAATCGACGAAAATGGAACAGCAGCTTCCGATAAGAAAAAAATCGAAACTTCGTACCTGATTCTTATCAAGTTCCTTTCCACTTTCACCACTTCTCTCATACAATGGACTGTTGTGTCCAGCGGTAGTATCCCACGTTCCATGAAAATCATATGCCATCAAATTGATAAAGTCAACATACCTACAATGTAACATCCACTATCGTAAATAACAATACTCGCCATTGGATAATAAAGGATTTCACATTGCAATTTTAATTTGTCTTGTTTTCATTTACGGTTTCCAGATATAACTATACCAAACACTGGTAATAACAATCCTATTTGTTCTAAAACCACCAAGTTCCTGGTTCACAAATTTGATTTAATATAAGTGTTATAACCAATGTTTACTTTGTTATTTACAATGGAATTCTTTTAGAAGACATGAAATTCTTACTGTGACACAAGATCAATTTCATAGGCTGTATCAACGGTTTCTCTACTTGCAGACACTGCTGCCGACAACAGCAACGCAGGCCGACTTGTTGAAGATCCTTCTTTATCGAATTCTTGACGTAGAACCTAAGTGAAACATGTCAAAACGATAAGTGTAGTAGTTGTTCCCGTGGGTAATTCGATGTGAATTGATAAAAACTGATGAACATTGACTAAGTGCAGTAACACACGAAAAAGTTTTCTCAGTGAATGAAATTCATGTAAAATTCCGTTACCCATTTCTGTTATTTTATTGCAAGTCGAGTTGCTTTCATTTACCATCGTTAGCTGTGTGAACTTTTCTCTGTCCCCAGCAGGACTTCCGCGATGAGCCGGATATTCCCAGTCTAGGTCAAGTCCATCAAAGCCACGCTGCCTCAAAAACAAGATAACGTTAGTTGCAAACTCTTCAATGTTCGACAGGGAAGAAACCATAGAGGAAAATGTAGAAACGCCATGGTTGTAGCCTCCAACTGCGAGCATTACTTTCAGGTCGGGATTCTCCGTCTTCTTACCCATGACTTCAGCGTATTGGGCTACAATAAAGAAATACATTGAATTCGGCAATAAAGTTGAAATGATACGTTAATTGAAAATTGCCTTTCCATGACCCTCAGTACCACTTCTTTCATACTCACCTTCATCATTCCATTCGTAGGTAGCTAGATTATTACCACTCATCTGTGCAAACGCGAAGATGATGTGAGTACAGAGATGGGCATCGATATCAGCAGCTGTATACGTCGCAGGACTTCCTCTGTACTGTGCCCAGTTCGTAAAATAACATACCCTTTTGTATGCGAGATTACCTATGCAAGAAGACAACAGAATGGTTTAATGGGATATTGATATACATACAAATGGTTTTTTTTTTTATATATATTACGAAAGAAAGTCTGATTCTATAACAATAAACATCAATTTAATTGCAAAAAGCTTACCAGAAGACGGCAGGGTTGTTAAAGCATTGTTTGATGTTGTTGTTTTTGGTGTGGTCTCTTGAGAAGTCGTAATTGACTGCTGTGACATCATCGTTGAAGCAATAGAAGGTGATTCTAAGACGGTTTTCAGAACATTCATCATAGGATTTGCTCCAAGTCCGCATATGTTGTTAAAGTCGTCCAAATCCATAGCCCAAACCATCGAACCTCCCAGGCCCAAAGACTTGATATATTCAGCCTTGTAACAATACAAATTGAGGCAAAATAAACGGCTGTTTGATTAAAGGATGCTGAAAATAATTTCTATTTTCGAATTCATAGACAATAAATGAGTTACCATAGGGGGAAAATACCAAAATGTCAACACAAGCATAATCCAAACTCAAATTCAATAAAACTAGGGCAAAATCTGTACAGAGGAAGATATTCACGCATGCTCCTGAAAAAAATTGAACCAAAAAGAATAATACCAGGTGTTCGGTGGAATAAGCGTCTTCTGCTTCATCGACGACACCGGCCATGTGAATCTTAGTCGATTCGTTAAGTAATGTCACGTTTTCCAATGAGAACAATATATATAAAAAACAATTGGAACAAAAGGCAAACTAACGGGTTTGCAGCCTAGTTGACCAGTTCTTGCACGAATATCGAGATAATGAGAAAAGGCCACAGAACATCGAATCAACTGCGACATGTAAACATCATAGGCTTGGGATGTAGGAATGATGGTATCCAGAAATGGAAAATGCACAATAGGGAAATTAAAACCATCACGCTTATCATACATTTTGGTGGAAAGCTGTCCAAGTTGATTATGTTGTTGGGAAAGATCGAGATAGGCGGCTGATATAGAAGAGTATGTCGTATCATTACAAATACAAATAGCTGAACAATAAATGGTGCTTTCAGCATTCACTAACCTTAATTCCAAAACTTTGGACATCATCAAAACCAACCCATTGGTTGCCACTGTAAGCAAACGGAACCTGGTGCTCGTTATGCCACATCTTAGTCCATCCTCCGTTTTCAATTCTATCACATATCTACAAATCGAAATAAAAACTGATAGGCTCATTTGCAACTCTATTACGGAATACCGACAATGGCTAATTTAAATACATTTCCGTACCTCAAAATAGCCCAGATAACCTGCTTCGGTTGTATATGCACCCATGACGCCTCCGCCGACCACCGCACTTCCCATGCTTGTGTCGAAAGAGCTTGCCAGTGTAAACGAGCGACCGTATAAAGCAAGTCCTAAGACTAATTTCTCTGCAGGGGTCCCATTCGACAGCCACAGTTGTACTCCTGCATTCTACAAAAATAACTTCCTTTTTTCAGACTGTTTTGCACATAGCTAACTCTCTCTGAATCAAATTTAAATATAGACATGCTTAAAAATAGAAACCTTCTTGACCATGAAATTTCATCTGACGGTTTAACAACTTAGGATTATTTTCGTTGAAAATCGACGAAAATGGAACAGCAGCTTCCGATAAGAAAAAAATCGAAACTTCGTACCTGATTCTTATCAAGTTCCTTTCCACTTTCACCACTTCTCTCATACAATGGACTGTTGTGTCCAGCGGTAGTATCCCACGTTCCATGAAAATCATATGCCATCAAATTGATAAAGTCAACATACCTACAATGTAACATCCACTATCGTAAATAACAATACTCGCCATTGGATAATAAAGGATTTCACATTGCAATTTTAATTTGTCTTGTTTTCATTTACGGTTTCCAGATATAACTATACCAAACACTGGTAATAACAATCCTATTTGTTCTAAAACCACCAAGTTCCTGGTTCACAAATTTGATTTAATATAAGTGTTATAACCAATGTTTACTTTGTTATTTACAATGGAATTCTTTTAGAAGACATGAAATTCTTACTGTGACACAAGATCAATTTCATAGGCTGTATCAACGGTTTCTCTACTTGCAGACACTGCTGCCGACAACAGCAACGCAGGCCGACTTGTTGAAGATCCTTCTTTATCGAATTCTTGACGTAGAACCTAAGTGAAACATGTCAAAACGATAAGTGTAGTAGTTGTTCCCGTGGGTAATTCGATGTGAATTGATAAAAACTGATGAACATTGACTAAGTGCAGTAACACACGAAAAAGTTTTCTCAGCGAATGAAATTCATGTAAAATTCCGTTACCCATTTCTGTTATTTTATTGCAAGTCGAGTTGCTTTCATTTACCATCGTTAGCTGTGTGAACTTTTCTCTGTCCCCAGCAGGACTTCCGCGATGAGCCGGATATTCCCAGTCTAGGTCAAGTCCATCAAAGCCACGCTGCCTCAAAAACAAGATAACGTTAGTTGCAAACTCTTCAATGTTCGACAGGGAAGAAACCATAGAGGAAAATGTAGAAACGCCATGGTTGTAGCCTCCAACTGCGAGCATTACTTTCAGGTCGGGATTCTCCGTCTTCTTACCCATGACTTCAGCGTATTGGGCTACAATAAAGAAATACATTGAATTCGGCAATAAAGTTGAAATGATACGTTAATTGAAAATTGCCTTTCCATGACCCTCAGTACCACTTCTTTCATACTCACCTTCATCATTCCATTCGTAGGTAGCTAGATTATTACCACTCATCTGTGCAAACGCGAAGATGATGTGAGTACAGAGATGGGCATCGATATCAGCAGCTGTGTACGTCGCAGGACTTCCTCTGTACTGTGCCCAGTTCGTAAAATAACATACCCTTTTGTATGCGAGATTACCTATGCATGAAGACAACAGAATGGTTTAATGGGATATTGATATACATACAAATGGTTTTTTTTATATATATATATTACGAAAGAAAGTCTGATTTTTTTAGAATTTTTTCTTTGGGTTGTGGCAATAAAAACAATTATTTGTTATTGTAGATTTTTGTATAGTTTGTCTTCAATCAAACCATGCCCATTCCTTCACATTTTTGCATACGTTAGACCTCAACAAAAATGTTCACATCAACACTCAAGAATAAACTTATTTTAATATCATACAAAGCTGCGTACATATGTTTTCAGACAATGGCCTAACAATGAATCCAACTGTATCTCTATTTATTTTGCTGGCTTGGCGCCATATCTGATTTGTCATTGGTGTCAATGATTTCTCTTGCTCTGATGTCTGATCATGTCGTCGTCATTTAAATCATTTTTTCTGTTCAGAACATTGTTTATGGGCAATTTACTACAGTTACCGACTGTTAATAAGGAAGACTTGTCATAGGAAGGGCTGGTAAATCGCGATGGACTATTGAAGCGTGTACTTTATTACTCACTGCTTTTAAACATTATCGTAGCAAGAATACATTACTCGTCAACGACAGGATTCCGTGAGATTTTAAGCATTTTACTTCATTTTATTTTTATAAAATTTGTTTATATCTATTGTTGTTGCACGTCCTATTAACAGTCAGTTATTTAAGGATGTACAAGGTTTGTGTGGCGTGGCAAAACTACCGAGGAAGGGCTAGTAATATAGATAGGCAGACTTTTTGTGTCAGATGCTTGAAGTCAAACTTACCTGCGGTAGAAGTAGCGCCGATGGTTACTAGGATGGTCAAAAGAACAGGCGTCTAAAACAGTGACGAAAACATTGTGTTATATGTAGTAAGGAACAATCTGAAATGCTTGTTTTGTAACGATGGAGATTGTACAAAAGACACAAATGAATACCACTTTTTAGAATTAGATACAATAGGGTCAAACATTGAATTAAACTACATCATACAGCTGTTTCGTCCTTCTAGGACTCTTCAGTGATGCCTAAGGGCCTTGACCTAATATATGATTTTGGTCTTCCATTAGATCCATTAAAATCGGGGTTATGGTGAAGACGGAAGTACTCAATGTATATAAAGATACGAAATATAGTACGTAATTAAAATCAGTGGTATGAATTACTTATCAGTCAAGTATCAGACATTCATTAAAGACTTATAAACCTTATTTCAAAGCATGGCACGTGAGCAGATTATTTTATAAGAGGTATACCAAGGTATAAGACAATCGAATATCAAGTGAAGACAAAATTGTCTAGAAGTCTCCGGACACAATCTCCGGTAGATGGATATTAGAAAATTGGTACAATAGGGAAAAGTTAAGATACAACTTTGTAGTTTGGTTTTTGTAGTGCAGATGGTTTTCTTTTCTAAACAAAACAATAATAATAATAACGACCAGATTGAGAAGATGGAGTTTTTTTTTCTTTTTTTTTTTTTTCTTTTTTACTTTTTTCTTTTTGCAATTGAAAAGTGGAAACATTGATTGCAGGTGTACATTTTTTCTACAATTGCGAAAACAACAGATTCTTTATTTTTGTTGGGACAGGCGGACGGACAGCCTTGTTCAGGAATCTTGATTTGATTGTGTTATTGAAAGCTTTAATTTTCTGAAGGTCTGTTTAGTGAAATTTTGAAATTGAAAAAAAGATAAAATATATGATTATCATTACACCCTTGTAGAAAATAGTTTAGAAGGGTCGGTAAAATGCCACTTAGCAACCACTGTATATTTAATACGATTATAACAGTAAATAAAAGTAACCGCTCAAGCAATTCTGGAATAAGTAATACAAAGACAGCAATATATATGGTACAGGCAAAGTCACCAATTAAGATGTAATCAAAAGAGACATTAAAAATGGATTTGAAAATTCATTATTTTATCAAAATATCCAATAAGGCTTCGATATTTACTATTTTTGCAACGGAAAAAGACTAACAATGTTTTCCAAAACTAATCTACACAATGTATAATTTGTTTAAGATGTTTACTCATACAGTGGAAAAATAAATATCAGATTTTATATTTTAAGAAAATATTGTACAAAAAACAAGTAAGTAGCACCTTCAACACAAGTTAAGAATTAGATACGGTAGGGTAAAATGTAATATATATATAGTTGAAAAAAATCAAATCAACACGACAAATGTATTCCGGAAAACTTTTGTCGTGTTGATTTTTTTTTCAACTATTTAATCGATACACAAAGCATCTTTAAGTTACATGTGTGTGTATTTATACAGATTAGGATTTGCACTAGTACCCATAAATTTCCTAATTAAAATTAAACTAAAAATCCTGTTGTGACTGTTATCGTTGTAACGATCGATTTAACCATATTAGATTACACAAATATTGTACTTACATTCATTATTTCTATAAGTAATTCCAGTCAAAAAGAATTCACATTGAAATTATTGACTCCTATTCTTGATAAAATTAGGATTCAAGATTAACTTTAATTATTTGTCCACTTTTGTCCTTCTCTTTAGAGTTTGTCAATGTTTCTGTTCACCGTTTTTGTTATTTTATCATCTTCTCGTGAATCGCTGTAATCCCTGTCTGCTTTTCTCACTGTAGCGTTTATATAACATTTTATTCCAACATATCTTTCAGTAATTAGACTTCAGTGTCCGTATTTGTTACGACGTTGTCCTTTGCGAAGTAAAGAGTTGGGTACTCTCCCAGTTTCTAGACATAATGCGCATCTCAGTGGTTTATGACTAAAACGTCAGTTTCTGAGTTAAAATAAAGCGGTACATTCCCAAATGATAAACCGTGTTGATTTCTGAATAGTTGAGTAGTTTTAAAGCTTTAATTCAGTGGTTCGTTACAAATTATTTTTTTTCCTTTTTGGCTGAATCCTCGTTTGAAAACTGTCGTCGATGCATCAAAATACTAAAAAAGAATGCCATTGAATTATAGCAATTATACACATTTCCACGTTGTGACCTCTCATATCTCAAGAAGCAGCATCATATAAACACCCTTCACTAGCTATCCTAACTCTACCGACCATGTCTGACCTTCCTACTTAAAAATAAGACGTGATTTTAAACTCTTATCTCCGAAAATCGCTCAAGTAAAAATATTGACACACAAAAGACGGCAGCAATAATAACCTTATAAAAATGTTTACCTATTGAATTTGTTCTCTTCGATATATGTTTGTGATAGTTATTGAAAAAAAATAACCAGCGGTAACTATATTTAAGATATATTACCCAACCAGTGATCAAAATGACAAAAGTTAAATCTAAATTAAAAAGCTGTGACGGCATCGTGCTCAAATAGCATGGTAATATTGGTTAGGCTCGCTGAAAATTGTAGTCAAGTGTAAAAACATAGTTTTAAAATTACCAGTAAAATTACTTTGAATTCATGTCAAACAATTACAAATGGAGCCACAAGTGTATTGAACGTTAATTAACTAATATTGGTGTTATAAACACTCATTACCGCTGGCATTTTAAAAAGAAAACAAACATTACATGCAGACGCTTAAACGGTATAAGCGAGTATAGATATGGCGCTGATAATAATGTGTGTTTATTAATGTTCTATTTCTGAACATCAATTTAATAAACGCCTAAAAACCTGATGATAATAAAATACAAATGGAAGTTGTGATTTTCGTAAGTTACACATATCCCATTGTTTGTTTGATTGTTAATTTAAATTCCAGTTCTCTTCGGTGTATAACTGACCTGTCATCCGGCGGATAACGGTTGGCAGTAATGTTTCTAAATTTGTATAAAATCTTTCTCCAGCGTGTGACTTTCCGGTTCAGTGTGTAGGTTATAATGATTATTATTATTACTATTATTAGTATCACATTCTTAACGGCCCGTCAACACATAAAATGTCATTAGGACCATCAAACGGTAAAACACACAGCGATCCAAAAGGAAATATCATTAAACAAACCAAAAGGTAATAGTATGTAGGTAAATGTTATTTTAGATATTGAAAATTTTTAGGTGTACTACATCTATAAAAATTTAAGCCCTTAGTATCACTGATAGTCATAAAAGGACGAAATATCTATAGGGCCAGCTTGATTCATCATTTTTTAATTGGTTCTACTATACGTAATTAGTGCTTTTCATTTGTTTGATACCTAAGCGACTTAAAGATCAGTTTATCGCGATAATCATCTAATTTATTAATAAGACGTCTCAGCTCGATATTATCAGGACAAGTCTTGTTGATATGATGATTTACTTATGTACATATGGTAAATGACCATGACATCACGACAAGTAGATGGCAGTTACATGTCACCACAGATACATGAAAATGACCTTTTTGAGTTTCCGGACAAGTGCACCTCCCCATCTGATTGTTGACGTATCTTTATATCATTTTTAGTTTTCCTCGTTCATCTTTCTACGTAAAAAAATCTTTGCCCTTAGTATCACTGACGATTCCTAGAAGGACGAATCAGCTGTGTGATGCAGCTGAACGCATTGTTGGGCTGTATTTTATCTTCTAAGTTTGCATTGAAAGGTCCTTTTTATTTGTGTGTCTTTTGCAAATTTTGAGTTCTATTAGTAATGCTATTGTTTTGCATATTTTTATTTCAATTTACCCCAAACATTTAAGCTGTCTGGATGGTGATCTTCAATTCATACACAGGTGATGAGGGTGGAAACGGGTTTTGTTTTTATGTGCATGAATTTAGCTTAACATCTGGACTATAAGTGATTGTACAAAACGACACACAAGTGAAAAACACCTTTCAGTAAAATTCAGTTAAAGTTCCAAACAGCTGTTTCGTCCTTGTAACAATTAAAGTAAATGTTATATTTCCAATTCATTAATTTAAATAAACTTTACTTTAATATTTTGAGTGACATGAAAACAGCACGACTTGAAATTTACAAAGGACCTACAATTTGAATATTCATTAAATGAGTCAGCAAATACACTGTTAAATGTGTTTCCCTTAGGTATTACCAGCGTACACTAACCGGAATCCATTACTATTTACAATCATTTAAACTACCAAATTATTTTCGTTTAGAGTAAATCAGGTCACCTATGGACATTTTAAGCTTACCAACACCGTGTACTTATGTGACGTTACACGGATACATCAATACGATACCTTATATTATACATGTATTTGTAAAATTCACTCCGAAAACACGCTGTAAAGTAGGTAAGATTCTTTTAGGTCCCGACATACGTAAAAAATGTGCATGGAGGCATCTCAAAACCTACCCCACCCTGTAGTTTTCAGTTCATATCAGGTATTAAACAATTGTTTATATGATAAGATCTGGCAAATGAGAAGAAACGAGACTAGATGAATATTTTTATTGTCTACCATTCTTTTCTGCAGATTTTGTTAGATTTAATTCCAGATTTGATTTCTTTTGGTTCGTAAGTAGTCATAGAAAGCTAAGTGGGAACAGTAACACGTAGACTTCCTCGTTGAATTGGTGCTATGTTTATTTTTTTTAAAATCAGATTGACCGAGTTGACGTCAGAAATAAGTACTTGGTTAATACTGATACCACGATGTATAGGAGGTGCTGGACATTTTCATTACGCTCCAGAACTAAAAAAAAGTCTAGAGCGAAAATATTGTGAGTATTTAATGACAAAACTTTGGAGACAACATATTGCACTGTAGCACATCATAATTGAAAAGAGAAGAAAATTATCTAGTAATCGGCAAATCTACTCTTATTTAAGTATTCTGTCTGCTCCCTGTTTACTTATTTTTGTTCTGTCATCAGCTTGAACTTACACCAATACTAATTATCTCAAGGAAATATTGAAA